CAGGGTGCTGGGGGCCGGGGCAGGCGCTCCCCAGCCAGGGTGGGGCGGGGCACAGAACAGAGCCACAGCTCATCCAGGGGACATGGGGGTGGCAGCTCCTGCCACTTGACACACCCTAGGAGGGCACAGGGGCCGGGGGGGTGTGCCCCTAGATCTGCGTGCAGGGCAGGGCAGGCTGCCTCTGTGGGCTGGGGCCGCACTGAGCTCTACCTGGCAGGGGGTTGGGCCAGGCTGTGCTTGGGATGGGTGGTGGCAGCGGTCTTAGCGCTGGGAGCAGGACAATGGAGGGGTGGGTTACAGCTAATTTTGGGGTGGTTGCAGCCCCCCCACAACCTACCCTCCCAGCACCACCACTGCCACCTGCCCCGAATGCAGCCAGGCCCAGTCACCTACCAGGAAGGGCCCAGAGCAGCTCTGGCCCCAGTCTGCAGCCGCAGTCAACCCCTGCCCCACGCACATATCCAGGGACACACGCCCCCTCCATAGCCTGCCAGGGCGCGTGCAGCGGTGGGAGCTCCACCCCGCATTAGCCACAGCTCTATCCCATGCTTTGCCCCACCCCAGCTGGACAACACCTGCCCTTGCCTCTGCCCCACTCCCACTCCCACCACTATGCACTTTTACGCAGCATTTATCAGCCACATCAGATAAAAAAGCTGACTGCTAATACTCTCAATTTTCCTCATATCAGTTCACCTCTAATCTTAACCAAAACCTCTTGAAAAATAAAATGGACTCCAAGAACACAAACCTAAACTGACCCACATGCTGTTAAGCCGCTACCTCTAAATGAAATTCTTTACTCCTTTATGTTTTTATGAAGAGTTATGGTTCACTTTCTATTAAGTTAAAGCAGTAACTGAAATAAAACAGTCACCTCACGCTCCAGGAAATGCAAGGTCAGGGCTGCTCCTCCCCTGGCCCTGCACAACAAGTACACTCCCCCCCACACACATAAGGTGGCTCTGATGGTGACACCAGAAGAGGAGGAAGGTAAGCAGCTTGCTGCTACCTCCAAGAGGAGGCACAAGGTGGTGGTGGTAGGAGACTCGCTCCTGCAGGGCACTGAGGGACTCATCTGCTGTCCGGACCCCCTAGCCCGTGAGGCCTGCTGCCTCCCAGGGGCTCGCATCCGGAATGTAGCACAGAGGATCCCCAGGCTCGTCCAGCCTCTGACTACTACCCCATGATCCTCATCCATGTTGGAACTAACAACGTGGCCAGAAGTAATCGAGACCGGGTCATGAGTGACTACAGGGCTCTGGGGGCTGGACTCAAGGGGTTGGGGGCCCAGGTAGTCTTTTCTTCTGTGCTCCCTGTTTCAGGCCACGGTCCCAGAAGGGAAGGACGCATCAAGGAAGCGAACTGGCAACTTTAATGCTGGTGCCACTGAGAAGGCTTTGGATTCTTTGACCATGGCACGCACTTCAGGGAGAGAGGACTCCTGGGAAGGGACAGCATCCACCGCATGAGGAAAAATAAGACCCTGTTCACTGCCAGGATGGCAGATATTCTGGACAGGGCTTTAAACTAAGATTGCTAGGGGATGGGGATACACAAATTCAAACATGTCCAGGGACCAACATACAATTAAGCCCTGTAGATAGGGACACTGGGAGAGCCATGTTTGCAGGAGCTGAGAGAATATAGTTGGCCATCAGCAGGATAGAAAGACAAGGGCCTCAGTAGGACTCAGGTGTCTATATACTAATGCCAGGAGCATGGGGAACAAGCAGAAAGAGCTAGCCCTCCTACTCTCCAGTGTTCATTATGACCTAGTAGGGATTAACAGAGACCTGGTGGGACTCCTCACATGACTGGAGCATAGCTATAGAGGGCTACATCCTGCATAGAAGGAACTAGGTGGGGAAAAAAGGTGGAGGCATTGCTCCAAAAATGGACAGCTTGAAACCCTCTGGGTCAAGTTGGGGAGGTACAAAAGAGACCTAACTCTAGGTGTATACTACAGACCACCAAACCAGGGGGAAGAACTTTATCTGGAGTTCACCTGAGAATTGACTGAGGCCAGAAGTGCACATGACATGGTCATGGACAATTTTAATTATCCAGGCATCACCTGGGAGGAACACTCGGCCAAGTAGGATCAGTCATGATCTTTCCTGACCTGTGTCGAGGAACTCTTCCTGACTCAGGTGGTGCATGAGCCAACCAGAGGTGATGCTCTGCTAGACTTGGTCCTGGCCAAAGGAGACGACCTGGTGACCAACTTAAATATAAAGGTGATTCTCCCACTCCACTCAGCACTAGTGAGACCTCAGCTCGAGTACTGCATCCAGTTCTGGGCACCACATTTTAACAAGGACATGGACAAGCTTGAGAGAGTCCAGAGAAGAGCCACCCGTATGATCAGAGTCTTAAAAGGCAAGCCATACAAGGAAAGGCTGAAGGATCTGGGACTCTTCAGCCTGAGAAAAAGAAGGCTGAGAGGGGACCTGGTAGCAGCTTACTGCCACACTAGGGAAGTACATCAAGGGCTCAGTGAACAACTGTTCACCAGGGCACCCGAGGGGAAAACCAGGAGTAATGGCTACAAGCTCCTGAAAGATTGATTCAGGCTCAACGTTAGGAAAAACTCCTTCACAACCAGGGTGTCCAGACTGTGGAATAAGCTCTCTCCAGAGGTGGTGCAATTACCTACCCTGGAAATCTTTAAGAGGAGACTAGACAGACACCTTGCTGGGGTCACCTGACCCCCAGTTATCTTTCCTGCTTGGTGCAGGGGGCTGGACCTGATGATCTTCTGAGGTCCCTTTCGGCCTTACAATCTATGAATTTATGAAAATAGTGTTTATACACGTGCTCTGGAAGGGAGGCGGGGTGAGGCAGCGTTTTAATCAGAGTGGCTCCAAAAGCAGTTCTGCTTAAAGCGCCAGAAGCGTCACATGTATCAGCATCTCTGTGCTGAAAAATGACAGCAGGGACATTTTAACTAAAGCTCCTCAAACAAGCTTTAAAGCACCCCCACCATCATTTTTCCATGCAGGGACACTGATACACATGACACTGGAGTCTGCCAGAGCACAGTAATTACCATGTTCCAGCAGACTTGATTAACTGAGTCTGCTCTGATATGCTGTAATTACAGTGCTTTGGAGATGGCCTCACTGCATGTGGACAGGCACTCAAAATGTCTCTTGGTTACTTTGGGGATAAGACAGACAACAAGTCTGAAATCCTGTAATGCATAAGTTCCTTTTCATCTGAATACCACTGATTATAAATTATATGGCTGCTTAACCAAAAATCAAAGTGTAACATACAGTGGTGTGCTAGACTAGAGCAAGAGTTACTGCCACAAACTAAGAGCCAAATTCACAACTATTCATTTGTGAAAAATAAAAAGAAAGCCTAAATTCTGTCAAGTCAGAACTACAGTAGGTGATGATGATATAGGTGTAGGTATCGGGAATACATGAGGAGCAGGGGAAGTATAAACATGGAGTAGTCAAGCTGTTCAAGCTAAAGGACAATGTTGGCACATAAACAGATGGATATTAAAACGAGGCATAAATACATTTTGGCTAATAAATGGTTTCTAACCATCCAAGCATTTGTGCTCTGGAACAGTCTTCTCATAGCAGCAGTGGGACAGAAGAAGCTACTTTTAAAATGGTCTTTGCTCAGTTTATAAGCAGGACAATCTGCTGTCACTGCCTACAACACCAGGGGACTGGGCTTGGTAATGCAGGGGTTTCCTTCCAGTCCTATGGACAAGCACCAGTACAATAAACTGGCAGATGAAGAGATGAAATCCATCAGCCACTGTTCCTTTACATTTCTGGTGTATGCAGTTATCCCTCCACTAACAGTACCTAGCCTACATGTAATTACATTTTTGAGAAACCAATTTTGCATCGTGAACCTAGTACACTATTGTGAGAACCATGAAATCCAAGCTGATGTTCAGAACCCAAACACAGAAGCCTTAAGACAACAGGACAGAAATACAGAACACAATACAGAAATACCCTACTTCAGCAGAAATAAAGAATTCCTTTTTGAACTATTCCAACATCTGTCCTGACCACCTCATGCCCCAGTACAGTAAGGCACATAAGCATGATTTTAGTGGACCATATCAATTGTTTAACTTTAAACAGTGCTCAAATATCTGACTGAATCAGGGCTCATTTAGAAGAGCTGTCAGTCTCTGGGACAATGATGTAAAAAAGAGGTCAGATGCTGTTAGTCTAATCTAATCTAGTATAATAGATATGGAGATGCACTATATGGAGCCTGCACATTCTCTTCCTTTTGGTACTGGTTTCCAATGAGACTAAAAACATCTGGGCCTCAATCTTGTCATCACATACAGGTTTAACTTCATCCACAAAATGAGTCCTATTGAAAGTTTAAGCACCAGCACATAAATGTGTACAGAATCATGGCCTTTGGGATAGGTCAGAAAGTTTTGTAAATTATTTTACTTTTACAGAGGTTTTATCTTTTTTTCTTTTAAAATGGAGACATTCCCTGAACAAAAATCTTGCTCACCTCTTCAAGGTCATCCAGCTCTTCTAGCCTCGTTCGTACCTTCTCAGAAACTGCTGAGCCAGGAGTTGTAACTTTGCCTACGAGTAATAATTTGTATGTTTGAGTCCTTAAAGTTTTTCAACATTTTGACTATGTAAGACTTGGGGGAAGAGAGGGTGCGAGTCGGATTTAAACAATCAAGCTGCATTCATAATAAAAATAATGGCTCAACCACATAAGGCGCCTACCTAATTGCTACTAAAAGAGACTAGTGGCATAATTTTCAACAAACAAGACCTCCAATCCTGCATGCACAAATCTGAATCCAGCCAAGACTGCATTCACTTTTTTGTCTTGTACAATTCATAGTAGTTGCAGCAGTTTGGCAACTGCAGAAATGGAAGCCTGATTTGAAAGAATCAGGTTCTGTGCTTCCCTTTCAAGATCTGCTGATGAGACAACCTTTCAGTTCCTTTGTATTGACATGTATTCATTCCAAAATTCCCACTTACTATACAGTCACACTACTACTTATCCCAACATTCACAGCTCTTCCCACTAGGAATGCCATTAAAATATTGTAACAGACAAGTAACATTTTGGTATACAAAAGCCAATTACTAAAAGAGACTAGCAGTATAGAGCGAGACTAGTGCAGGGGTAGGCACTGTATTTTGGCCGGAGTGCTGAAAAAAACCACAATGCCTACCTTGGAAGGTGCCGGAGTGCCAGCATGCCAGAAAAACAAAATGAGGGTGGGGGTACGTGGCAGGATGACCTGCTTGTGGTCCTGCTGCCCCTGCCCCCCAGCCCTGCTGCCCCTTGCCCCCCAGCCCAGGCTCTGTGGCTATCAGCAGCTACCCAGAACCTGGATCAGCTGCAGCCAGGATGCTGCAAACAGCTGCTGCCTCCCTGTCCAGGCTCCAGGAAGACAGCAGGTGCGGGCACTGCACCCATTGGGACCAGGGCTGGGGCCGTGGCCAGCATGGGGCTGGGACCAGAGCCCACGGGCAACAGGGGGCTGGGGCTGGAGCCTGGCCATGGGCAGCACGGGGCTGGAGCTGGGGCCAGGGCCCACTGGCAGCATGGGGCTGGGCCCCGCAGCAGCTGGGACTGGGGCTGCAGCTAGGCTGTCGCCAGTGCCAGGATGGGGCTGATGGTGGCACCGCGCTGAGGCTGGGGCTACACAGGGCTGGAGCGGGCGGCAGTGGTGATGCCGGCTGGGGCTGGGCCCATGCAGGGCTGGGACTCGCCAGCAGCACGTGGCTGGGGCTGTCAGCAAGGTCGGGATAGGGCCAGGTTCCGTGCTGGCCCCAGCCCCATCCCGACACTGCCAACAGCCCTGGTCCAGCAGTGGCACTGTGCTGGGGCTGGTGGCAACAGTGGTGAGGGCTGGGGCCAGGCCCACCAGCCGCTGGCATCACCACCGCGGCTGGGGCCTGAGGCCGGCCCAGCGCAGCCCCAGCTGACTGTCAGGGCAGTAGGCAGCACCGGGATGGGGCCAGGGTCTGAGCAGGCCCACAGCCATGGCCCTGCGCAGGCCCCAGCCCCATCCCAGCACTGCCATCAGCCCCGGCCCAGCAGCGCAGGTCCATAGCCCCGGCCCCATCCTGGCACTTCCAGCAGGCCTGGCCCCAGCCCTCACCACCACCACTGCTGGGGCTGTAACCAGTGCCAGGATGGGGCCGGGGCCCGCACAGGGCTTGGCCCCATCCCAGCGCTGCCAACGGCCCCAGCCAGCACCATCGCCGATGCCTGGCCCAGCAGCAGCACTAGGCCGGGGCAGGCAGCAGTGGTAGTCCCAGCCATGGCCAGGCTCACCACCAGCGCTGGGATGGGGCTGGGGCCACGTACCTGCTCAGGCCCTGGCCCCAACCAGGCACGCCATCCAGCCAGCTGGGGCCGCGCCGGGCCAGGTCCCAGCAGCGGTGGGGGTGCCAGCTGCTGGCAGGCCCAGCCCCAGCCTTCACCACCACCGCTGCTGGCCCCAGCACAGTGCCACTGCTGGGCCAGGGCCATCGGCAGCATCAGGATGTGGCCGGGGCCCGTGAGGAAGCCGGCCCCATCCTGGCTCTGCCGACAGCCCTGGCCATGTCCTGCCAGTGGCAGCATGTGGCCGGGGCCTGCGCAGACCCTGGCCCTGGCCTGGCAGTGGCACTGGGCTGTAGCCAGCAGCTGCAGTGGTGCCGGTTGGAGCCAGGCTCAGACAGGGCCGGGGCCTGCTGGCAGCAGGGGCTTGGGGCCAGGGCCATCGGGGTGCTAACAGCTCCTGGCATGGGGGCAGCACTTGGCAGGGGCTGGTGGCGGTGCCGGACTGGGTCTGGGGTCCAAGGGGCTCTTACTTGGCTGGTGACAGCAGCAGCACAAGGCTGCTTCCAGGCAGCCACGTGCTGCTCCATCTGGGCACAGCACTTCCCACCCCAAAGGGCAGGAAGCAGTCTGCATGCCAATCAAAAGCATGCCGCATTCCACCTTCGGCACACGTGCCATAGGTTGCCAAGCCCCGAACTAGTGGTATACAAGATCCAATTCAATGATTTGCTTTCAGGCAGAAAGAATGATTGATCAGCTATTCAAAAGACTTCTCTTTCATTCCCTCCTGAAAAGCAGGAAAAAGAGAGACAAGCTTAACACCAAGTAATTGTGCAATTCTGGGGCTTTGGAATGGGAGAAACTGTCCAGATATTTAAGCCACAAAATAAAGTACAAGATCCCTAGATTTTTTTCCCCCAACAGCACAATCACATGCCAGTCAGTCAAGAAATATGCAACAAATCTGGCTTTAGCCCCATCAGACAATGTACATGCATACATAGTTCACAACTAGGGAAAATCTTAATTCGAATGCAAGTCTACACCATACTTCGCCATGCATTTTTTCCTTTTAAAAGTTCTGTTTCCCATACCATTTGATAGAGTAACTACTCACCTTTTTCAGACCCCATATAAAGATTCTGCAGAGAAACAACAGCATTTTAGAAGGCATGTATTTACAAACTATTAACTTATTTTTAAATATTCCAAGAACATAGGCTTATTTCAACACTGCCCTTTATATCTCTACTAATTTACAGATTAAAATATGACAACTAAGTTCTTCAAAGCCACTACATCTCTAAGTTTTTTTCAGGTAAGTGATTAGCACACTTTTGAGTTCAGCCTAAAACTGAAGTACAACACAGTATAGAGAGCAGCTAAAACTCTATCCTGAATATTTGAAAGAACTGTTGATGGTATCTTTTGCCACTACATGAGTAGTGAAAATTAAAGGATGTACATTTCTTCACTAAATAGTCACAAAGTAGTCTTCTACAGTAATCAAACAGTACCCACTGTCTATGAAGATTTTGTACAAAAAGCAATAAAAGTTCACTTACAATGGAGAGTTTTTCAGTTGTTGTGTATCTAGCAAGGATTTCACCACGTTTGCTTGACCATGGTTCAAAGTCACTGCCTACAGCCAAATGGTCCTCTTTATCTCGTTTCTTTCGTGTACTATCCTTGGAAGAAGGGAGGAGTATAAACAATGTAATTTTTCAATTTATATGTAAAAGGAAGGCTAAGTAAACTAAAACTTTTTAAGACCTATCATATTTTGTGCTGTCACTAAACCTTCCATCGGTTTATAATACAAGAGATCGATATTACCAAAGAGCACAGAGGCCATTAGCCATGTCAGTCTCAAATAAGCCAAAATGAAAAACAGGGTGTCAGCTCAGGGACTGATTCAGAGAGACATGAGCTTTCAAAGATAACATCTGACTAAGTAGACTGTCGCCTATGAAAGTTCATGACACTGAACCAACTAGTTTTTAATGTGTCACTCCATCATCCTACATATTACCCAAGTTATTGAAAAAGAAAGCAAGTAAACAGATGTATTCCAATAAGTTAATATGGTAAATTATAAACTAAAATAACTCTTATAAGTTCTGGCACAGAAAACATAGTTCTGTTTTCGTCTTTGTTAGTTTAGTTGAGGTAACCACGCTTCAATATTACCATGTTAGCTGCAGCTGTCACTGGATCTGCTGTTGCTGCAAATAACGACAAGGGATCAGTTCCATCCAGCACACTGCTCAGTGGATCCATCACTGAACTGGAAGATGAGGAGGAAGTAGAGGAAGTGCTTCCTTTCCGACTCATTTTCTTGGTCTTGGATTCAGTAACCTGAGGAAGAACAATTATAAAAGTTTTTTTTTCCCCTCAGACTCTATATTCATATCCTCTAATAATAAGAACAAGAATTATCCAAAGAGCAGTTTTCCTAGAAGCAAGAAACTGTACACTAGACATGCCATACTCACACATATCATAAAACCTTTTTCTCTCTGCAGCAAGAGACACTCTGAAAACATTTCAATGACTGATTTTTGCAAACTCACGGACTACAGAACAGTCGATATAATCTTACATCTTTCCCTTCTATTGTTCTCCCACCAACTAATTATTCTTCTTTTCGCTCTTTTCTCTCCAGCCTGTTCTCCAAATTCTCCTACACACAGCTCTGCCCATTCTTCTAGTACACTCCTTAGGATTCGTACACCCTCAAATTTTTTGTGCATCAGCTGTCCTTTCCTTTCAAATCCAACCTTCAAAACTCCTCCTTTTAAGATCTTCTGTGAATATCTTGCTACTCAGCTTCCCAAACAAGAGCTGGTGTCCATTTATCATATTCATTATGAGTTAAGGTCTCTGTTCTAAAGAGGTTAGTTTCTTTTTTGGGCATTTCATAGAGCCCCAGGTACATCCCTGAAACTCTATAAAGTGTTTTAAAAACACACACAGCTGGTTTGGAAGTGACCTAACAAACAAACAAAAAGTTGTGCATCCAGCAATTATTCACTGATAACATGATTTGGTCCTCATCTTATCTTTTAGATTTTATCAAAATATTTGGTATCACTAAGCTCTGCAGGATAGAGTTTGTTCTAAGAAAAACTATCTACCATTGTTACAGAGATGTTTTTGGCAAATAACAGTCATCTAATGTAAGCAAACAAACTTATGAACTGTATAAATAGCAAAATCAAACCATGGTACTCCAAAAACAGAGGGACTACAAACTACTGGAATATCCCTATCATACTTCATTGGCACTACAACCAGTTGCAAACAACACCGTCTTCCACCAAATTCAGCAGCAACTCAGTTTGTTTCAAGGCCAGCAGTTGCCAGAACAGTTGTTTTTACTTTCCAGGGACATTTTTATGAAAGACACAAGAAGAAACTTACTGTAATAGGTTTTAGTGGATGATAGTCCCCAAATTCCAGGGAAACAGCTTCCAGTCTGCATGATTCAAACTCTGTTGTATAATTCCTAATTCTTGCATGCCTTAATACAAAGAGAATAAAGGAAGTTTATACACACCTACTTGCATTCTCATAAGTATGTATATATGTACCCAAATATGTGTATGGGTATAGATAATGTCACAGTGGCCTGCTGATAAGAGAGGAAAGGAAATCACCAGCAAATAATCAGCAATGTAAGCATAAGAAATATCACTGTATTAAAGCCTTCCTCTTAGTGAAATTAAAAATTTCAATTAAATACATTATGACAAGTTTTCTTTTTTTGTAGTTTTTAGTTATAATTGACAGTCTAGTGCCAGGACAGTGACTTCCCTCTATAACTAAAAACGGTTTGGTCTCAAAACAACATGGATAAAGCCCTTGAAACAAAATGCTTTTGCCTTAAAGATTTAGCAGTAGCAGTCACTCACTTTATCAGTCATTTTAACAATAACATTTCTCTCAATCTAACACCTAATTATTAAACTTGATTTCCTGTAATATTTCTAGTTGTAGTGAACAATAAACTGCTCCTTTAGGAGTACTATTAAAACGGGAGAATTGCAGTTTCCATAACTAGCTCTGTAAAGATCTACAAAGCAGATTTAAGATCGATATTTACAAAACTCAACATGTATCTGCAAACAATGCAACACATCAAATGAAAACCCTTTTGCTGAAGAAAATGTGATCTAGTCATTAAGCACCAAACTGGAAGTAAAGTATCTTGGTTTGTGTGTCTAGCTCTGGGTCTCTGCAGCCAGTCAGCTTCCAAAACTCTTTTCCCCATCTCACAGAAGCACCATGAACTTTATAGTGAATCTACAGTGCAATCCAGACGTCTAGCTACAAGCTGTACCAACTGAGCTGTACTCAGGTACTTATAACCACATAGCCATTGACTGCACGAGGATCAGTGCAAACTTCAAAACTCCCCAAAGACCCTGGGCAAATACTAGCTTCAACTAGCTGGAGTGTCCCTGTGTGAGATGCAGTCAGGCCTCTGGATTGTAGTTGAGCTATAACCTGAGAGGATCCCTCTACTAGGCATTCTGGCCAAACTACAGGGTCTATTCCACCAGCAGTGGCAACAATGGGACTGGTGATCTAGGAAAGGATCAAGGTATCTACCAGTACAATGTGTGAAAATAGAGAGCTTTCTTTCCCTTTTCCCTCATCATGCCTTGAAGGTATTTCCAAGATTAAAAACAGAAACATCAGAAATGCCTCACTGAGCTTCCCTATTTTATTGCAGAAGAACTTCTCAGGAAGGTGCTCCGAGACCTCCAGAGTCTTAATGGAAGGGGCAAAAGTACAGAATAAAGGCTTCCTTTATCCAGAATACTAGTCATTAAAGTAAAACTACAGTGTGCCAGATTTTTGAAAAAGGCTCAGCTCCTATTTAGAAAAGCTAAGCACTCAGCAACTTCTGTTGAGAACAATGTACCTAAGAGAACACGGTATGTTTGAAGATCCTGCCCAAAGAGTTTGGAACAGCAACTAAAAATCCCATCTCCTCTCAACTTTCATTTTCTTGATTCTTATGATGCCTCCACTACAATTGTTCTTCAGTCAAAATGTTCTAACCCTAGACAGGACCTGAATCTATAGACGGAAAAGCAACAGGGGAGAAAAAAATCTTTAAAAAATAAAATCCAAGCACAAAGAAAAAAACTCAAATTCCCCTATATTCTCTGCCTTTGGCAGTAATCCTTTTGGGGCGGGGGGAGGAGAATCAGTCTACTTGGTATTTATCTGATAGACCCTTGTGGCACTCTTGCCATTGCAATTCTGCAAAAAGAAATTAAAATAGCATGCTATAGCTGTATTGCTAATTGAAGAAGCCTTGAAGCCTAATGAGATACAAGCAGAAAAAGAAAGACTCCAGTGAAGCCTACATGCCTGCTCTTTTTGTTTTCTTAATCTCTGGTTTCGTGCCTTCTCTAGCATGAATATTCTCTTGAATTTACTATTGTTCCATGCTTCAATGATTCTCCTTGTTCTCTTGCCTCATAGGTTAATTAGCATCTGTATGAAAAACTTTCACCCAAACTCTTTATTGGCTCCTAATTATAACATTTCTATTTCCCAGTTATAGTTACAGGTTTGTCAGCGTTTCCATTCCATCTCATTTACAAGGCTTTTTAAATTACCAGTGAAAAAAGACGTCTCTGACAGCTGAAGGCATGCCAGTTTCACTAAATCACCAGTGAACCCATGCCTGATGAGGAGGAATCTATTTGAGCCTGCATGCATTTTTCAAAAATACAACTTTTTTGTGCAAGTAAACATAACAACTTATAAAGGTAATTAATATTAGGGAACAGTTGAAGATGTTTAGCAATAATTTTTTGTTTTTATACACTGAAGAAGAAAAAAGGTAGATCAGAGTTAGAACAGGGCAACTGCAGCTGCAGGCAGCCGCAGCTACAATGGCTGCTATTTTTTTGGGGGGTGGGGGAGGCACAAACCTTCCCCACCCCTTAGTTACACTACTGAGGTAGAGAAGCCCATAGCAACAAAGCCATCTTCCCCAGGCATCAAACTAAGCCAGTATCTTAAGGACACATTACATGATATGTCACCCCACTTTAATATTATTCTAGGACAGGAAGGACCTCTTCCACTACCTGCTGTCTGGCTATGCAAGAAGAAACAAAGCAAAACAATTAAGAGGAAGGGGTCCCTCTAATAGAACAGATTTAAGTAAGTATTCAGAATATAATAATGGACAAGTTAGAAATGAGTGCACTGAAGACTGTTTGTATATTGTAAGCAACAGATAATTATATTTACACAACACATACTGGAGAAAACCACTATGAAAAGAGAGGTAAAAAATTCCAGCCTTAATTTAGAATTTGCTGGGTTTTTAAAGTTATATTAAAATCTGGTATTTCTCAGATGAGGCAAATTATGACACTGGGCTCTATTTTCAGTCTGTATTTTTTTTTTAAATAAATCACTTTCATAATCTGAATTTTAATTTTAATACAAGTTCCTTTTAGACCAGTGAAGATAGTCTCCATTTATTTTTAATTATGGTCTGAAATCCAGTTCAGCATACAGCTGATTTGAATTTTACTTCTAACTGATCATTTTAACAATGGTTGTACTTAACTAAACACTACAGTACTTTATATACCAGCCACTATATATCTCTCTCTTACACTATTTATTTTCCTCTAGCAATATCATTATCTTGTCGTGTCTACTATCATAAGAAGCCAGTGATTTCTGTCTCTCTAAATCCCCCAGTCTAAGTATTATACATTATTAATCTATACCACATGCCAGTCAGTTCCTCATTCCTGGATAAGGCACATTTAGCCACATTCAACAAGCACTTGTATCTTCTGATTGCCCATTTTCACAATAACTACTGGGCTATATAGCTTGGGTTAGTGTTCTTGTTTAAATGACCCCAACTAGAAATCAGAAAGCAAACCACTTCTCTGAATGAGCAGATTGTGACCACCACGTGAAGATGACAGAATTTAAATCACCCTCATCTATTTCATTTATTAGCAGGCAACATGGTCACAATATTCCTGGGTAGTAACGCATTCCTCTATGCATGATGCACCTACAGTCATAATAAAATACAAGAATCATCTCTTCTATCTGTGCATCTACCTGCAAGAGATTTTACCCCATACAGTGGGTAGGAAAAAAGAATAAGAGAAAAAGTACTGGAGCACTACAGCTCAACCCCTACAAGAAACACATTCCATTTTAGGAGAGTCATTTCCAGGTCAAAGTTGACCTTAAGTTTAGTTAACAGATGTATCCTCTTTTCAAAATGTCCTGAAAATATTTTTTTAAACTAAAATTAACCTTTCTTGCAGTGTTATGCCAGCATACAAAAATCTGAAAGTGAAATTGGTTAATCTGATAACATTCAGCTAAACCAAGAATGTAAGCAAAAAATTAAAAGAAACATATTGATTTCTTAGTTTTTGTTTAAAAGCTACAAATTTGTGTTACTTTTAACATTTGCAATCCATTAGGTCTTTTTTTTTTTAATCTGTTACTTTAAAATAGCTTGCTTTGCAGCTATTTCCACAAAATTAGGTATTCTTCTGCCAAGATCCAAGACTTACTTTATGGCTTAGCTTTTAAAGTATCCCAATAAAGGTCTATAATTAAATGCTAACAAAATTCTAACTAAATGAGTATTCTATCTATCAGTACGAACAAAAAGAGCTTCAAGAACATATCATAAAAGGCACTAATGGGTATTTCTAAACCGAAGCTAAATGCCTGATATTCTTTCCCTGCTCATAATATTTATAAAAATGCATTTTAAAAGTAATTAACACTGTTTAAAGGTATCTGGATAAGCACTATAATTTCAGACTGAAGCTTGGTGTAATTCAGTCAGCTATGACTATTTAAAAAAAAATTCTCTGTAATTTTATAATAGTTGTATAAACTGCAGACTTGAGTAGTTTTTTTCCTCCTTCATTAAAAAAGCTGTTTCAATCTGAAATTAAATAAAAATGATTTACTATTTAAGGGAATAAACACTGTGAGCAAATATTTCAAAACCAGGAAGCTCATTTTTTGTGAACAAACATAATTTTTTAAAAAGATAGAAACAGTCAGTGCACATATCTTCCTTTACCCGATCAAAAGATAAAATAACCATTTCCTTTACTATAATAAATACTGTACTGTGCAATCTATATCTTCAGCAGTTTCCCTGAGCTATAAAACATTGTATTGCTGCAGAAGCAGAATTTGCAGCTTGATGTGAACCAACAGTGCCATCCACTGGACAAAAACAGGAGTGAAATTCCTTGTTTCTCTCATCCTTCTCTCTCTTGCTCTCAAAAAAAGTACTGTATAGCAAATTCCTACACATACACATTGGATCCAAGTCTAAACCACTGAAACACTATTTGTGCTTTCCTTAAAGACAGCTCATAAGAAAAACTGACCACAGGAAGCCTTTTTAATGCTCACGTGAATTAACTTTTCTTCTAACTTACATTTCCAAACACACTTTGCAGCTATCAGTATCTATTCTACCAATGTTCAGCTTTAGGACTCAATACTGCAAAGACTCACAGGTGTATAGTCCCTTGGACACTTGGAATCCACTTGTGTAGCAAGTTGGGCACTTATGAGCTTTCTTGAGCTGTGATATGTATAAAAGCACACAGAGTGGCCTGCAGAATAATGGTATAAAGAATGCTTCCTATGCCCAGACTGGGGGAGGGGGGAAAGCCTTTCAGACTGCATGTAAGGCCAACAACTTGCCAGTAATGTCTGGACTCAAGGATGATCTCTACCACTGCTCATTGATAGGTCTGGAGATGACTCAAGACTTCAATCCTTGAGCCACCGATGCGTTCATACCAGCTGCGGGTCCTTCCACAGGGAAGAGTAGGCTGAGGGCTGAGATTCCTCTCCTTTCCTTTCCTCCGCTTGCTCTTCTCTGCTTCGAGGGCAAGACGCGTTGCCTCAAACTGGGCTGCCACTTGGTTGAGGCTGTGATTGGAGTCGGTCAGCGGCCAGCTCTCGATTTCTTGAGGTACACCTTCAACAGGTCTTTCTACGGCTCCCTCCAGCCACCACGAGATCTCAGGGACTTGCTAGGAGTCAAGCCCACCACTTCCCCATGGACCGACCACCAAGGCAAGGCATGCGCTGCACTACTTCCCTACCCCCCACCCCAGCCCCTCGCCTCTGCCACCTGAAACCTTCTCCCCCTTTTCTTTTCAAAACCTCCCCTTTGCAAAGGTCTCCATTTGCTTTGTCTCTACACACTGCTCCTTCAGTCACCTCAGGAGGAGCCTGGACAGCCTCCCCCACCACTGAAGTACCGAAGGCTCTAGGAGGGAACAAGGCTTAGGGGGGAAATGGAGACAACGTGTCTGTGCTCGGGGGTCTCTGTACGGCATGAAGACAGGGGCTGGGGGCGCAGCGCACGCTTTATTGATCTTCTCAAGAGAAAGCCACCGGATCACAAGGCCCCAAGGGGCCGGGGCCACGCGGAGCCCCAGAGCCCAGCTTCTCCCGCTCAGGGCAGCCAGGACGTTTCCGTGCCGTTCAAACGCCCTCGGGCCCGCGCGGCCGAGGCTGCGGGAGATGGGCCGGGTGGCCAGGCCGCCGCGGAGCCGGAGAAGGGCCACTGGACACCAAGGAGGAAATAACCCCGTCTCCACGCCGAGCGCCCCCCGCCCCGGGCTTACCAGGGGAAGGCCGCCATCTTGCCACCTTGTCATGTGACGCCCGGGCCGGCCTTTCACCACCCCGCCCTGACGCCGGCGCGGCCATGATTGTGAAGGGCAGGAGCCTGCAGCGCGGGGTGGGGGGCGCTTCGGGCGTCTGCGTGACGTCACTTTTCCTCTTCCTGCCGCGGACCCCGCGGCCCTCGGTTTTGGGGCCGCCGCCTTGATCTGAAGAAGGGGATTCGGGCGCGTGGTGCCCGGCGGAGGGCCAGACTCCCGGTCCGTTGAGTCTCCGGGGGCAGGGGGGCAGCGAGGCGTGCGGAAAGGGAGAGTGAACTGGGCACAACCAGGTGCCCCAGAGCTTGCACAGAACAATGCTTCCAGCTATGTAGTTGGTCTAATAAGAGATACCACATTTCCCCAAAGAATTTGTCCGCCCGTGTCCTTGGACCAAGTGGCTACAACCAACAGCCCTGGGCATGACCAGGCTTTGCTTCTCCGCACTAGTCCTCTCTCGCTTGCGGCCTCCTCCATTTCAGGCCATGGTTTTCAAACCGGGGGGCCTGAAGGAACATTGTAGGGCTGCGGGCAAGGAGTTGGCACCGCTGTAGCCTTTAGGAGGGATGCAGGGGCAGGGAGCCCGGGCAGGCTCTGCCGGCTGCCGCATCTCGGGGAGCCCAGCGTGGCCGAGGCAGGAGGCGCTGCAGCCCCCCGCGGAGGAGACCTGCCTGCAAGGCAGAGCCACCGCGTGCCTGGCTGTGCTGCTCTGGGGTGATGGAGGGCGCGAACAAAATTGTTACTCAAAGGGGGGCTTGGCCCAAAAAGTTTGAAAACTGCTGATTTAATGTCTAGGAAGTTCTGATTCACAGGCTGTTTCCTTCACTTCCATGGTCAATAGCTACTGCTACCCCTTTACTCCAAGAATTTGTTCAATCCCTTTTTGAACATGGGCCGATAATGCGAGGACACAGTCAGGAAGGCCAACCGCACCTTGTCGTGCATCCACAGATGCATCTCAAGCAGGGCCAAGGAGGCGATCCTCCCCCTCTCCCTCTATGCGACACTGGTCAGGCCGCAGTTGGAGTACTGGAGGAATGAGGCCAGCATCGAGAGGGTCCAGAGGAGGGCCACTCACAGGATCTGGGGACAGCAGGGCAGACCCTACGTAGAGAGGCTACGAGACCTGAACCTGTTCAGCCTTCGCAAGAGAAGGCTGAGGGGGGACCAGATGGCCATCTATAAACTCACTAGGGGAGACCAGCAGGGCTTGGGAGAGACCTTGTTCCCTCTAGTACCCCTGGGGGTAACAAGGAATAACAGCCACAAGTTGTTAGAGAGTAGGTTCAGGCTAGACATTAGAAGGCACTACTTCACAGTCAGGACGGCTAGGATCTGGAAGCAACTTCCAAGGGAAGTGGTGATGGCTCCTACCCTGGGGGTCTTTAAGATGAGGCTTGACGTCTACCTGGCTGGGGTCATTTGAGCCTAGTTTTCTCTCCTGCCCAGGGCAGGGGGTCGGACCTTTCGACCCTACTTCTATGAATCTGGCCAAACCACCAGCTTCTGCTATGTCTGGTGGCAATGTGCTCCACGCTTCGATTGCTTGCTGCGTAAAAAAGAATTTCCTTTTGTTTTAAACTTACTACCTACTAGTTTCATTTTGTGATCCCCTTGCTCTTGTATTGTGAGAAAATTAATAAATCTGTATTTACTCTCTCTTCTCATTTAGTATTTTGTAAGCCCTTATCATATTCCCCTACACAACTCTTGTCCAAACTGGAGAGACCTAGCTTCTTTAGCGTCTCCTCGTATACTGCTAACCATTCTTGTTCTTCTTCGGACCTTCTCTAGTTCTTCTATATCCTTTCTGAGATGTGAAGACCAGAGCTAAGCACAGTATTCAAGGCACAGTATAGGCACACCATAGATTAATAACGGGTTGTGATGATATTTTATGCCACAGGAAACTAATTAACCAGGAAAATCCAGGAAAGCCTAGGGGCAAAAAGAGAGGCATCTAGGCTATGGAAGCAGGAGGTAAGCTACCAAAGTGGAGTATACCTACTTGGCTCACATTTGCAGGGAGGCAGTCAGAAAGACCAAAGCAGAAATGGAACTAAGGCTGGCAACAAAAATTCGAGACAACAAAAAGTCCTTCTTCAGGTATATAGGGAGTAAAAAGAAAGCGCAGGGTAGCATAGGACCTCTACAGGACAAACTAGGGCAATTAGTGACAGGGGGTACAAGGCTGAGCTCTTCAATAAGTTTTTTGCTTTTGTATTTCTGAACACGGATCAGGACAAATCTCCCAATTGGATCATAGACAAGCACAAAAGGGACACCAGCCCACCAACTGTTAGTGCCAACTTGGTGAAAAGACACTTGGAAGGACTGGATGCATTTAAGTCAGCAGGCCCAGATGATCTTCATCCAAGGGTGCTGAAGGAATTGACCAGTGTCATGGAGCCACTGGCATGGCTGTTTGAGCACTCTTGGTGCTCAGGTTGGGTCCCAGAGGATTGGAAAAGGGTCAATGTGGGCCCTATTTTCAAGAAGGGGAGGAAAGAGGATCTGGGTAACTGTAGACCAGTTAGTGTCACCTCTATCTTTGGGAAAACCTTTGAAAAAATTATTAAGGATTACATTTGTGGGAGTCCAGCAGGAAAAATAATGCTGAAGGGCAACCAGCACGAATTGATACCAGGTAAATCCTGCCTGACTAACCTTGTTTCTTTTTATGGGTAGGTCACAAAATGCTTCAACACAGTCGAGGTAGATATCATTTACTTAGATTTTAAGAAGACCTTTGATACAGTATTTCACCCCATTCTCATAAATAAACTAAGTGGCTGTGATGTAGATGATTACACGGTCAGGTGGGCAGCAAATTGGCTTAGGGAGTGGTGGTGGATGGGTCAGTATCAACCTGGAAAGATGTGGGCAGTGAAGTTCCACAAGGCTCAGTCCTTGGACCTGTGCTGTTCAGTGTCTTCATCAGTGACTTAGATGAGGGCATGGAAAGCACTCTGTCCAAATTCGTAGATGATACCAAATTATGGGGCAAAGTTAACACACTAGAGAGTAGGGAATGAATCCAGGCAGATCTGGACAGGTTGGAAAAGTGGGCAGAGCAGAATAGGATGCAGTTCAACAAAGACATGTGCAATGTGCTGCACCTATGGAGAAGGAATCACCAGCACACTTACAGGCTGGGGGAGGACCTTCTCAGCAACACAGCAGTGGAAAGGTATCTTGGAATCATTGTTGACACCAAGATGAACATGAGTTGGCAATGTGACAAAGCAAACAGTAAAGTTAACTGCACTTTATCATGCATTAGCAGGTGCATGATAAACAGGTCCAGGGAGGTGATACTTCTCTGTGCAGCACTAGTCAGGCTGCAGTTGGAGTATTGCATCCAGTTTTGGGCACCGTGCTTCAAGAGGGATGTGGACAACCTTGAGAGGGGCCAGAGGAGGGCCACTCATATGGTTAGAGACCTGCAGGCAAAGCCCTACAAGGAGAGATTGAGCCCTGGATCTCTTCAGCCTCCGCAAGAGAAGGCTGAAAGGTGATTTGTGGCCACCTACAAATTCATTGTGGGCGGAGGGGAAGGCAGCAAGGAATAGGAGATGCTTTGTTTACCAGGGCACCCCTTAGACAAACTAGGAACAATGGCCACAAGTTGATGAACAGGTTTAGGTTAGACATCAGAAAGAACTTCTTTATGGTAAGGGTTGCCAGAATCTGGAATGGGTGTCCAAGGGAGGTGGTGCCCTTCCCTACCTTGGGAGTATTTAAGAGGAGGCTGAATAAGCACGTGGCTGGGGTCATCTGAGACCAGCGCTCTTTCCTGCCCAGGCAGAGGGGCGGACTCAATGATCTACTGAGGTCCCTTTCAACCCAAACATCTATGAAACTTTTCAGTAGGCCATGAATCCCACATAGCCAGGGAAGTCTTGTTTCTAGGTTTAATAGAAATATAAAATATGTACTGATGGAAAGCAATGCAGTAGTGAGGATATTTTGTAAAGAATCAATTACAGTGTCCACTTCTATCAAAGGAATCATCTGCATATTAGAATCAAAATTCCCATAGCAAATGCCAAGAGCATTGTGTTACATACATTTTCTACCACTGTTTAGCATCTCACTGGTCGTGTCCACATGAGAAGCTTACCGCACAGTAGCTTGTTACTACTGCACAGTAGTGTCATGTGGCACAAATTGTAATGCAATGCAACTGCAAAACATTAACAAGCAGCTGTGCAATCATAACGAGCTACTGCACAGTTAGCATCACCAGGAAGCTGTGCAGAAATGCTACTGTAAAGTAACTCTGGGATGCAGGTACTAAATAACTGGGCAGTAACACCTGTGCAGGCAGTGTTTAGTGTAGATACAGGCACTGTGTAGAAACACATGCTTATTAAAATCATTATCTTAAACTATAATCTAGGTATAGAAGATTTTTTTCTGTTTATTATCAGGATTGTTTTCTGGCTTGGTTATTGTTCATTTTACATGTGTGTTTACCACACAGCCAGGTTATAAGTTTATTGAAATAAGTAAAATTACAGTGAAGTACCAACATTTTAGTTTCTTCACAGGGCTCTGCACAGACTTTTTACTTTGCCCATTTTACCATGGTACCACTTACTAGAATCGCTGATTATTACAAAAGTACTCTGCCTGATATGATTCCAATAAGCAACAGATACTTTAACTATGGACATTTCCAACCCAACCATAACTCCCCATGGAATGGATGTTAGTTAAGTTGGTTCTGACTGTGCAAACATAAATCATGTTGTGCGTGAAGTGTTGCAACTACATCAAACTCTTAGAATTGCAGTAGAGTTGTGGTGCTAATGTCCTATATTATTTAAGACTGCTTTCACCTGATTTTATATTAAGCATTTACTTAAAAGAAATGTTCATCTTCAAAGATTAAAAAGTTTATTTTGCAGTATGTTTAAAGAAAGAACAGGCTGATGAAAATAAAGTAAAAAAATAAATACGCTTTACAACGACATTACATTCCACACAAAATAAAAAGTGAACTGAAAATTAAATATGCATAAATACAGAAAATATCAAATTACAAAAACAAACTGGCACTTGTCAAGAGAAAGGCATTATGAAAGTTAAAAAATTGTGCTATGAGTTTTTGTTTCTTTTACACAAACTTTGAAATATTCTTAAAGTAAAAAAAGGCTTAGTTAACAAACCTGAACACAAATTAAACCTTCATGTTTTAAATATTAAAAATGAATCCATGTTTATGTCAACATATCACCTACATTGTTAACTAATAACACAGCACATAGAAATCTTAAAAAAAATTATCAATCTTTAGCACTGACATATAATAGCACACTCAGCTGTGGTCTAAAGTTTTATAACCTGCAAGTGTTTCTACTTGTTGACCTAAATTTGAAATATTTCTTCCCCCTCTATAAATAAATGAACATTTGAGTAACGCCAAAAATTGAGAACAAAATACAGTTTAGAAATCTGTTAAGAACTTAAGAATCTAGTTGTTATAAGCAGTCCTTTGCGGAGTGATAATTAAAGAACAAACAGCCTACAAGCATAGCGACAAGCCTTCAGGTGGTTGAAATCACAATGTTTCTTATGAGGATCTGACCCAGAGTCTTTAAGTTCAGGCCACCGTAGACAGCCACTGAGCACTTTGTTAGCCTCCAAATTGTTTCTTTGTATTGGTATTGCCTCTTTCAAGTTAATGACTGGCTCTGTTTACAATACTGTAGGACACAGAATCTTTGCTTGTAAGGCGGCAACAAGTCACAAAAATTCTAAGTGTGTGAATATAAATTAAAAGTAGATTTAAAGGCACCTCCAAACAAAGTGCTGTTCATTCATTTACACATCTTAATGTTAAGATACTTTCTCCACATAATTAATCCAAATTTTTATTTTTTCATGTTGGATTATTTAATGGAGAGTGCTTTTTGGATCCATTTTATTGTTATACCAATGACAAATTTTAGGAAGTCTCTTTAAGAAAGGGGTGTCACACCACAGGAGTTCTGTTTAAACAGCAGAATTTGAACCATCTGTTTGTCTCATGCTTAGGCAGTCCTTTTTACACATTTAAGGCTCTGGTGGCACAAAAGATGTGCCATATAAGACTGAAAAATGCATGTTTTTAAGACTAGACCTACAGAAAGGCAACATTTCCTGGAAAGATTCAAGAATTAAAGTTACTGGTCGGTTCCCCTTTTAAAATAGTATGTTTGTATCTATTTCTGCCACAATGAACAGCACAAGGCAAACAGGAGTATGGAGGTCGACCCTTGTAAGTCTGGGGACTAGAACTGTGAAGGTTGCAAGCTTTATGCGTTACTTGACTGAAAAGGGAAAAAAAAAAAAATCGAACAAAACTACATTTTTTACACAACTGTTGCTTGTTTAGAAAATAAAGTAAATTTCGGAAAGTCAAAAGCAAAACAAATTGTAGCATGAACTTTTTATCCTAATGGTTGCAGAGGACAATCACTTGATTTTGAAGCAAACCATTAAAATGTTGTCATTAGAAATACATGCGATTCACTGTCTGTGCCACATCTTTCTCCTACGTCTTGGTCCATGGTTTATTTTGGAATTAGACAATGCAACAAACAGCATAGAAACATTGCTTGGAAAAAATTTCATCATGCACTGTGTGCGCATATAGATGCAATTTCTGTAAAGCCCATGGAAGAGCTGCGATTATGCTAACAATTATTTTGGATACAAGTTTGCACACAATAAAGAGTAACAATGCAGGCCTCCTGCCTGAAATTGAGAGGATAGCACATTCAGATAATGATACATTCAGTAATCCTGCTCAGTGCAGTTATGGAAAAGCACAGCATTGTTACAGTTTAGTAAACTTGGGTATTTTTGCAACTGCCCAATTTTATAGTAAAAGGCCTAAGATGCATGTACATACAACCACTACATTTTGCAGGCATATGAACTGCAATTATGCATATGAACTGCAATTTTAAATGTGTTCTAGAGTAAAAAAAGTGAATCAGAGCTAGAAGACTTAGAGGTGGTAAAAAGTTACAAATGATTTTAAGGTAGCACTATAGCATAACATTTTGAATGGGGACATAAGTATACAGACATCTGGATACATAAAGTTACAACATGCAATTTTTCATAAGAGTATTAACTTAATTGTAGCCCGATTATTTCAGTGTCATTCCATGAAAACTGACTATGCCGGTGTTTGCAAAATGTTACGTAAAATGGGCATGTTTGTCATCAATTCTGAGTCCGTAATCATACAAAAGACCCAAGGTCTGGGCATTACGAAAACGACCATTACATTAACATTTTTATCCCAGCGAGTGTTGTCGTCTTAAATTGTCGCAACATTTGGCTTCCTTCTTTGGGTTCTTCCTGCATATACTCCTAAAGATACAGCAGAAATAAAGGCAACATTTACAGTTACAATTACTACTTTTTTAATAAAAAGGCAACAAAAATAATTGAAACAATACAAGCTAGAAATACACAAAACTGTTTAAAATATCTACTTTTAAACAGCCATTTCAAAATTCAAATGTTTGCAATTAATGCTGTCTCAAGTACCTTAAAATGCATGAATAAAACAGGTTATTCAAGCTGTAAAAATTCTTGCAAGTAACTACATTATAGCATGTTCTTCCTCAGTAAGCGTTCCCTTTCTTTTCCTGCTATTCCAAAATACCTACAAATTGCAATATATAAGATTAGAAAATTTAAAATGTTGGTGGTAATCATACATAATAATGTAATGAAATATAATTTCAACACCTATAGGTCTTAACTGTTCTAACTGATTAACTATTGTGTAGTATTAGTGTGTAGTATTTTTTACGTTTATGGAAACCAAAAATAAAAAGCAACTCTTTAGTCTTCTTTCCCAACTCACACCTCTGACTGATAGAAGCACATTAAGAACATCCCAAGAAAGTTTGAGCAAGAACAATATAAAGCAGATTAATATTTTAAACCTCTAGCCAATTATGTTTTAGGTTTAACAGCTCAGAATAAGTTATTTATAATCCTCCTGATCTTCCCCTTCCCCACAAATATCCATGTTGAGAGAGAGGACCCTCTCAGAGAGGGTAAAGCAGGGGTGTGGAGATCCTATCAGAAGTGGTCTGCAAGGTTAGGATCCACAACAGATAGAAATGAAGCCTCAGCGGGCCAAAAAGAACTGGGTGGTGGACAAAGGGCAAGATGAACATTCACTATTTTGGAAGCTTCTCTATTTTGGAAACTTAAAACTCTCAATAAGGAAACTGAAGGTAGGAGGAGTCCATGCCCCACTGAAGCTCAGGGAGAACAATTTGATATCTACTAAATGATGGAGAAAGCATGCCCTGATCTCCTGCAAGATCCCCCACCATATTCCATGAGTGTGTGTGGGGGGGGGGGGAACCTTTTGTCCGTAGCTTCACCATGAAAAAACCCACATCAGAACTCAGTGGAAGGGGATCTTCATGGAAATGTTCTCCCCAGAGTTCCTCTAAGCTCTTTCAATATTACAAAAATCACCATGCACTTCTGTTACTTTAGTACAGATGGATATTGTCCAATTTATGATGTGCTGGAAAGAGTCAAGAATGGCTAATACTACAGATGTCAGTGAAACACACGATGTTCAAACATACTAGATGAAATGACCAAATAAGTTATGCTGTGCAACTGCAACTAGTCAGAAACACCTGCCAAACATTCAAGATGGCTACTAGACAAGACATCCAATGTTACAACAAACCATCACGTGGTCATGAAGGCAGGTCAGACACAAATAAGATGATTTTCCTTGACAGGTATCTAAAGTGTCATGGTATTCAAGTCATGAAAATGCTATGACTAGTTAAAGTTAGGCTGCTGACAAAACCAGAATATACTGACTCCTCACTGTAATCTTAATTGGCTAATCTTGCAGTTTTAACAGTTCCTGCCTGTCTTAGCTTGTGTTCTTTGCAGTTCTCATTAGGTGAGTAATTATTATGAGAGGTACAAAGAAAACTCAGGTGCTGCTAGGAGTAGTTAAGGCAATTCAGATGACATTTCTGCTGTTGATATTATAAACTTGTGGGGAAGACTGCTGAAGATGCCGTCTTTTGGATGCAAAACAAAAATTCAGATAACAGAAATCTGTCATCGTGGCACTTTTACAAGTTTCCCATTTATACATTCTAGTTCCAGAGCTAAATTCCTGCTCGAGTAACTACACTCTGCAATTTTAATAGGATATGTTATTTCCTATCTTTATTAATATTTTGTTTAGAATCATTATGTCCCATTGAACAGTTGCCATGTTCCACTCTACAGTAGCTACCCTACATTTACCAAGGGAGAGGACGAAGTATCCCTCTCCTTCCAACTTAAATGTTCTAATGAGATTCACATATATGCATGTGCGTGCATACATATAAAGTCATTGTGTATTGTGTGATTTCAGATCCTCTGTGATGAAGGATCCTATAGATTAATATAAGATGATTATTGATTTCTGGGTTTTTTCCCCCTCAGATATAAATGTAGTAACTTTAGGCATGCCTGGATTTCTCAGCACCTCTTTTGTATAATCACTTCTCTTGATGTTTCAAACCAATAGGGGAAAGGACATTTTCTGGGCAAACTGGATGCATGTCAGTGATCTTATGCACGCTCACCAACTTTCTTCCATTATCCCTAAGTGCCTGCAGTTAAGTCAGAATTCTGAATTTGTCCCCACTGGGAAGCCTAGACAGTTAATACAGAAAAATAATTCAGATATTACAAATCCTATGAGCAAGTTATGCATCCATCCTAAACCCTTCCATTACCTAACAGGTTAACTATTAATCTCCATGTCTGGACCCTCTGTATTTCCCTACAACTAAAACATAACATTAGGTGTATATTAATGGAAAAATGGGTCACATCTTACTCCTTAATGCCTAATATACATCATAGAATCCTACAACATATTTTAAAAGTGAGAATTTATTAAACAGTCCATATGAAAAGAGAGACTGTTTTGAAAACCTCTCTTTACTCCTTTATTTTTCTTTGTGGAAGACAAATCTTACATGTATAAAATAAGAATCATATGACATTCAAAATACAAATACCTAAGCTGCATCTAAATCTGTACTAGTTCTGAATATTTTTCTCTTGACAAACCTTATGTCTTTCTTAGATATATTGCTAACAAAAATATAGCATTTTTTTTTTGCACTTGGGCATCTAGCAAAGAAAATGTAAGCACCAACTCTAAATGGTACATACATATTTTACAGCTTTTACAAAAGGTTTGTTACCCACATATATTTGTTTGAAAAGACGGGCTGGATTTAATGCATTATAGCAAAGCTGTTGCAGACGGAAAAGGTAAAACAACTCCCCCACCCCCCGCCTTTAGGCTTTCTTTATACTAGTAACTTACTCATTCCTTTATTATAAATGACATCCAAGCACCAATTTTCTACACACCTGAAATAGCCTTGTTAGGCAATCTGCTCTCTGAGGACTTCTTTCTATTTTGCTCAACCCCCTTCACTGAGGTCTTAGGGGTTCTAATTAAATATAAAAAAATTAACAAGTCATTTGCATCGAAGTCCAAAGGCTGCATCCAAACAAAGAAAAGCAACACTACCAAGCTGTTCTTGGCATGAGAACATCTGTAAGGGATTCAGTATAGCCCCCTCCAGAATATTTACATGTGCAACCCCAGTTGACATTATTAGGTTTTATGCACACATTAACAGGAGAATGTACTTTCCAGATACCCTTTTTAAACTGTTCAAGAAACTGATTCAATTAAGATATTGTGGAATTAAGTAGTCTACATTTTTTAAAATGATGTTACATTAAGTGGAAGCAGAGGCTCATGGAATGAATTTTACAAATACAGATGTCTAAACACAGTCTTAATGGAAGACAGACAACAGAATGAGACCATTGCATTTTTTAGTATAAAATAAACACAAATACTAGGAAATTGAAGTATCTTCTCAACATAAGTTGAATAGTGGTCATTTTGTCTTTGCACAATATTTGCAGTGATACCTGTAGCTCTTATTTGGAAAGATCTGTATTCTTAGATGTTGCAATTAACTTCAACCTTTAGAGTTATGCTTTAAACCATATGCGGGGCTTACCCTTGCCTGCAAAGCAGCCTATGAATTGGAGCATTTTGTCCTTGGTTTGGCTGAAGAACTCTGTTAAAAGAAATAAAACTTATGGGGTTTTTTTTTCCTAAAATGAAGCCACAAATAAAGTTTGATTACTAAAAATCACTTTCTATATTCTAGGTATACCAGAAGGGCCAGCATAATGTTTAGTTACCTGCTGATAGCTCAGTGACTATACAGGTAAGTATGGCAGTAATTAAAACTCAAGAATTTTAATTTACAAAGTCTTCAGAAACAGAAAAGAACTTTCCTTACAGATGTCCCCAAGCAAAGGCTCAAATTCTCTCAAGATCAAAACAAAGCAGGTAAGCTTTTTCTAGTAATAATTGTTATAACACAAACGCATCCTGGTGCAGTGTGTCCACACACAACTTCACCTCATCCAATCTTTGCTGTGCATTTTTGGGGCAGTAAGCCAGCTTGGAACAGGTTCATACATGTAATATTTTTTCCCCCAGTAGCTTATCCCAATGATTTCTTCTTCCCTTGGGAGACAGATTGGCTGGATCCAGGTGTGCAGGCACGTGTGGTTTGCGGCACTGCAAATCCCTTTGCAGCACCACAAACTGCACAAGTTGCACCTTAACCAGTGCACGGTGCTGCTAATTTACAGTGCCAGGACAAAATTTGCTCCAGGATTTCCCAGTAGCAAAAAACAAAACAAAAAACCCTGGGAAAGAAGTGGCACAAACCACACCCAGGGCTGCCTGCTCTCCTATCTCCGCATGCTGTGGAGTAGGGGTGTGAAAAATGGGCTGTATTCGATTCGGATTCAGTCTGAATTGGGAACAGCGATTCAATTCGTTGATTCGGATCACAGTTCCGATTTGATTTGGCCGAATCCGAACGTGAAGATTTGATGCCGATTCGGAAAAAATCAGTGATTCGGCTATAGACACAGGTTTAAATGTTTTTTCTACGACCTTGAGGTACCAGGCGTGGCTCGTGAATGCTGTGATGGTGGAGCGGATGAAGCATCCCACAGGAGCGCAGGGGGGTCCTGAAGTACTTCCAGTCTACGTCCGGGTCTGCCATCAAGTGCACCGGGGGACCCCCTGCATCCTCCCAGCTCGGCAATTGCCCGCTGGGGGACCTAGGATGGCACCAGCCACTAAGCCAGGGGGCCCCCCAGCACACTCCCGGGTGGACCCAAAGGCGGACCAGAAGTTCCAGTCCACTTCTATGTCTGCTGCCGAGTGCGTTGGGGACCCCCCCGCACCCCCAAGGGACGCTCATCTGCCCCAGCATCGCAGCATTCACAAGCCGCCTGGTACCTAGAGGTATGTAGAAAAAACACTGCATCTATGTCCAAATTGTCAAATCTTTCCAAATCTCTCCAAATTGATTCAGAAGGTTCCAAGTCAATTTGGAGAGATTAAAGGGTCTCTCCCGATTCGATTCAGATTCGGCCACCAACTTGGGCCGAACCTCCACTGAATCAAATCAGCAACCAAAGCTTCACACAGCCCTACTGTGGAGCCCCTATGCTGAGACCCTCCTCACCCCCACTGCTCCCTGGCTGGCTGGCGCACAGGGTGCCTCAAGACAGGACATCAGGCAGCCCTTAGCTGGCTGCTCTCCTGTCTCCTTGTGGCTCAGTGCTGAAGCTCATGGAGCCCCCATGCTGAGGCACCCTATGCCCCACCCAGCCACTCCCCAGCTGCCTGGGGTACAGGATGCCTCAAGATGGGGGTACAGGCAGTCCTGAGCTGGCTGCTTCCCTGTCTCCTTATGCCTTAGCGTAGGGGTTTCACTGTGGAGCCCCTGTGCACATGGAGGCACATGGAGTCCTGCGCTGAGGCACCTTGTGCCCTAGCTAGCCACTTCTAGGCTGGCTGGGGCTCAGTGTGCCTTGAGATGGGGGAACAAGCAGCCTTGGCCAGCTGCTCCTGTCTCCTTGTGCCTCAGCACAGGGGCTCCACTGCGGGGCCCCCACACTGAGGCATGTGGAGCCCCCAGCAGAGCAGCTGGCTGGGGCACAGTGTGCCTTGAGACAAGGCAGCAGCCAGCCCAGAAAGTGGCTGGCTGGGGCGCAGGGTGCCTCAGCGTAGGGGCTCCACAGTGCGTGGAGATGGGGGAGCAGGCGGCCTAGGGCTGTCTTCTGCCCTATCTCCACATGCTGTACCCCAGCTGGCCAGGGCACAGGGTTTCACAGTTTCATAGTAGTTTGGGGTCAGAAGGGACCGGAACAGATCATCTAGTCTGACTCCCCGCCACTGGCAGGAGCACACGACCCCAGACAGGTGTTCATCCAACCTCTTTTTGAATTTACCTAAGGTAGGAGTAAGGACCACTTCCCTAGGAAGTTGGTTCCAGATCCTAGCCACCCTAACAGTGAAATAGTGCCTCCTAATCTCTAACCTGAATCTATTCTCCAGCAGCTTCTGGCCATTGTTCCTAGTCACCCCAGGTGCTGCTGGGGGGAATAGGGCCCTTCCTATTTGCTGTTGATCTCTCCTAATGAGTTTGTAGGCAGCCATCAGGTCCCCTCTCAGCCTCCGCCTGCTGAGGCTGAACAGGTTCAGGTCCCTCAGCCTCTCCTCATAAGGGCCTGCCCTGTTGCCCTCCAACCAAGCGGGTAGCCCTCCTCTGAACCCTCTCAAAGGCAGGCCACATCCTTCTTAGAGTGCAGTGCCCAGAACTGGACACAGTGCTCCAATTGTGGCCTGACCAATGTCGCGTAGAGAGGGAGTATCACCTCTCTGGACTGGCCTGAGATGCATCTTTGGATACACAACAAGGTGCGGTTGGCTTTGCTGGCTGCGGTCTGGCATTGGCGGCTTATGTTCATCTTGGAGTCAATAATGACTCCAAGATCCTTTTCCGCCTCTGTGCTCACAAGGGGGGAGCTCCCCAACTTGTATGTATGCTGTGGATTCCTTCTCCCCAGGTGCAGCACCTTGCATTTATCTACATTGAACCCCATCCTGTTACCATCCACCCACTTCTGTAGTCTGTCTCAGTCTAATTGCAGCCTCTCTCTCCCTTCGAGTGTGTCTACCTCTCCCCACATCTTGGTGTCATCGGCAAACTTGGACAATGTGTTTTCCACCCCCTTGTCCAAGTTGCCAATGAACATCTTGAACAGCGTAGGCCCCAGGACCGAGTCCTGGGGGACCCCACTGCTCACATCTCACCAGGTCAAGTACGACCTGTCCACTACCACTCTCTGGGTGAGTCAACGCAGGGGATAGCTAGCCCTTGCTGAGGCACCCTGTGCCCCAGCCCGCCCATGGAGCAGTGAGACATGTCCTGCTGCAAAGCATACAAGCAGGGGTGTGCACTGTGGCACAAAATAGCACCACAAATTTGTGCTGCTGCAAAGGCACACCCCTATTTGTGTGGACATGACCATTAAAGGCAGGACTGACAGATACCTTCACAGAAGACCATATACCCAGGCTCTGGCCTGGGTTCACAAAAAAAGCACCACCAACTTTACACATCAGTGCTTAAGAAGGCAAAAGTGTTGCTTTTATTGTTTTTATAATTTTAAATGACGTTTTTGCATCATTATATGCGCGTGGAGGGTCACAGTCAATAGCTTCCCAGTCTAAAACCAAGGCATGAATAGAAGCACTATGAGATTCACTTCCTCAAGTTTCTGGTCTCACAGGGTGTTTATACATGTGCTCTGGGAGTCAGGGGAAGAGGGGGACAATTTAAATTTAAAGTGCCCAGAGCGTCACATGTATCAGTGTCCCCATGCTGAAAAATGGTGGCGGGGGCGCTTTAACTAAAGTTTGTCAAACAAACTCTAGTTAAAGCACCCTCACTGTCATTTTTCAGCGTGGGGATGCTGATACACGACACCAGAGTCCACTGAAGTGCGGTAATCACCACGCTCCAGCAGACTCGAATAATCAAGCCTGCTCCGACTCACTGTAATTACAATTCATTGTAATTCACTGCACAGGTACAGGCACCCACAAGCACTGAACAATTCTATAAATGATCTGGATAGAGATTATGCAGTCCTACCAGAAGAGGACAGACCTTTGAAGCACTTGTGCAATTATTATTTAAGCTGGTAGTTTGCAAGCATTCCAGTCACATGTTTTTTTACTGGCAAAAATTCTCTTTCGTGGACAGGCCCCATCTAAAGGGCAGCCCCAATAGCAGAGTATTGAACTTTCTGCTGGATCCACCATTTTTGCTCCACAAGAAATTACATGAACACTTGTATGCTTGAAGTTTCTCCTGGACTTAGCACATCTGCTGCTATAAATGTAACCTGTCATTAGCACCACGTATAAGACACTAGCAAGGTATGCAGAATTAACTTACAACCACTTGGTATGAAAGTAAGTGCCCCTGCTGATGCTCAAAGGTCTCTTCATAAGAAAGATTACACCTATTTTCAATGATCTCTACATACCACTACACTATGGTTCATATCTAGAAAAGCAAAGGGATCAACAGAAGAAAATAAAAGTACCCCAATACTTAAAGATGTTACCACCACACTTAACACTATGAAAAATCATAAAGAAATGAAAATGTCATTTTTGAGGATAGTATATATAAGATGTTCAAGCTGAAAGAGAGACTATTAACTACAGACAAGTTAATAACCCCTTCCCTTTCTTTACTGCCCTTGGTAATAATGACAGCAAATAAGTTATAGCAAGAAAGCAAAGCAATCAAAAGGTCCAGCATGACACAATTAAGAACAGATTACAGTACTCTCAATGACAAAAAAAGATATCTTCACTGACCTGGCTTCAGATGTTTTTTGTTTTACAATTACTTTTTTATTTGGCATTCCCATTTCCGCAGCCCTAGAGAAACAAAAAGGACCCAATTATTTTTCTTTATATATAATTATATAAAATCATCATGAAGGAAGCTAAACGGAAAAAAAAGAGCTACTTGCATTGCATATTATCACCCATTTTGGTAAAATTATACACACTGAAATCTATCCTTTAGAAATCAGATAATGTGTCGAGGAATTATGTATCTCAATTATGTTATGCAGCCAATTCAAATGTTTCTACTGTGTACACCAGTGGTTCCCAAACTGGGTCGCAACCCTAAACGGGGTCACAACATAGTGGATGGAGTCGTGGGGTTGGGGGACTGTAGGTTGGGAGTCAGGGGACATACTGAGGAAATGGGGCCATAAATGGGGTCATGCTGAGGAAAAAAAAAAGTCTGGGAAGCGCTGGTGTACACCATTCATTCTGAAGGAAGCCATGAAAATGATTCATGTATTTTATTAAGTACCCAGTTGCCAAACCTAAACTAAACATACAAGAATTAGTTTGCTTATTGAAACTCATTCTTAAATGCATATCAACAATACACACAACAAGTTAACATGAGTATTTTATTAATTGAGATTTAACTGGGATTTCAGTTAAACAGGGATATAACTACCTAAATTAAATGCAACAGAACATGACTAATTTTTGTAAGTGCTGTGACTTTTTTTTGTGTGACTAAGACGGCATATTTTACCTTTTTTCAAGAGATGGTAACTCAAATAGTTGAGAATGCTCTAGAATCATGCTGTAGTGTTGGGCCCTTTCACTCGACAAGCACGTGTCACATACTTAACCAACATCATTTACAACATGTTTTGATTCAAGTTAGTGTTCTACCCAAATGCGCAAGGTGTTCGATCAATGATAAAACATTAATCACGATGCTATTAATTATGATTTCAGAGCAAATTGGACAAAAGTAAGTAGATATATGGAAGAAGACTAGCACCCATCTTGTTTTTAATATGTAAGCAGATATTCAGGTAATTCCTATCAAAATGTAAATGAAGGAATATTAAAATGTTGACTAGAAGAAAGTCAGTCACCCAACAAATGTAAGAAACCATTTCGCTAAAGATTCTGCTGTGCACAAAGCAAACATTTTCCCAATCCTCCTCCAACTCTCACCAAAAAAATAGAAAATGCACATACTTCATGAACTTCTTCCTATCCAGGGACTTTTGAGTCGCTGTTGAAAGTGTCACTCTCTCTCGTGAGGTCTTTACTTTATCCTAAAAGAGGAGAGAAAGTGGTGAATACTAATATTAATTACTACTTTTATTACCATTGGCTCCTCTAACCCAACTACTCTGACAGCTGTTATTATGGCATCCATTTTAAAGAATCTAATTCAATAGTTTTTACTTTATGTAGCAAGGAAACTCTTATATTATAAATTTTCAATTAAAAATCACTTTTATGAACAAAAAAATCCATAATTTAGATTGAATCTCTTTTCTTATTAAAATTGGTTCTGATTATTTCCCATTTATAGTACTGCGTCCCCACACACACACACTTCAGGAAAGTGTGGATGCCAACTATGGCGGACTGAACATTTTTGAAGAAATTTAACCCCTGTAGCATCACAGCCAAGGACCACACTAGTCAGGAAGATTATTTTCAACAGCTTATGTTTTAAATCTTACCCAATCAGAAGAAATTCAGACCTTAAAAGGAATCACTACTAAATATTGGACTGGGTTGGTTTTTTTTGTCACTAAGTAAACAAATGATCTTGGAACACACCATTTGCCTGAGCATCTTCTCTTTACGAACTTCACGATCATGATGCAATATACTCATTCTCTCTGATACTTCCATTATGAAGAATATGTCATGGATGTCATATAGAGCAGCTCGCAGCTGAAAAAATAATAAAACCTGCATGAAGTTCTTCAATCAAGTTAGTGTGTTCATACTTAAGGTAAAAGACCACAGCAATTTTTTAACCCAGAGAAAGGAAGACCATCTTGGTAAAACCACACTACAGACTATTTTTGTAAGCATAAAGCAATACTTTCTTTGTTTCCATGACCTTACTTTACATTTTCACCTCACAAAGATGAAACGAAGAACCTGTCTCTTGTTGACAGATAAACGGACAAAGAACAGTTGGGAATATACATCACCTGAGCTATCACTCTTTCATGTAGGGATGCATCTTGTGCTGAAACTGTCCCTCTCTTTAATGGAGCTTCAGACTGAAAATTTTTTATGAACTCCATAGTGTCCTAAAAAATAAAAATGTAAGGTTAAACATTACACAATTCTCACTGACGGGATTTGTAGCAAACCTTTTATGCAGCTGAGACCAGATTTGCAAAGCAAACTCGGATGACACAATGCAAAACACTGTGACAATAAACTTTAAGTCACTTAGTGGAATTTACAACACCCACATTAGGGCCCTTGGTTTCTATTCAGTTCATAGGAAAGAGTTATGCACCTAAGAATAGGACCTACAAAAGCCAGCATACCCAGTGGAGAACACAGTAAGGCAGCGAACACAAAATACTGAGGAGATGGGTACCTGAAACCCCACCTCTTTCCAAAGGATGAGGACACGATCAAGGGTATCAAACATACAGCTGCAGGCCACAGCTGACCTACAGAGCCACACTATCCACCCCACTGGACTATGGGTTTGGCCCCTGTGGACATGATGATTGGCAGCAGGAGGGCAAGTGAGGGCCAAAACAGCCCCAGTTGCCATCTGTTAGCTTTGCCCATCTGCACTACCTTGGCCCTACCTTCCTGATTGCAAGTCCCCACCACATGATGCAACTTTCTCCTGCTATGGGCCACATCCAGCCTGCAAAGAGTCCCTCATTCCAGATCCAGCTCAGGACACAAGGTGAGTTAGACACCCCTGCTCTATACCCAAGGGAGGCAGTTCCCATCCTCCAAAAGTCCCGTATCCTTGCCTGGACTTAGGCACCTACACCCCTTCTTGCAAAAAACAAGAAGGATCAGTCCTCTCTATCAGAATACTGATACTCAAGAGCTCAGTGGTTAAAATACTCTCCCAGGAGAAGAGATACCTGGTTAAGGTCCCTACTCCAGGGAGTTCTGAATACCTGTCTCCCACCTCCTGGATAACTAGTAGATAAAATAATTATGTTCACTCTCTTCCCCCTTAGACCAAATAAATATTTAATTATCCCATTCAAAGCAGGACAGCTAAACACAAAGAAATTAAATCACCACCCCAAAAATATCCTCAGGTCTGGGGGACCAGGGCATTGTTCCAAGATGGAAATGTCAGGCCACATTTCCTCAGGTAGAGGAAGGAATTGAACCCAGGCCTCCTACAGCCTCCATGAGTGCACTAGCCATCAAACTATGGAAAAGTGAAGGAGGGAAATTTGCACAGCAACAGAAGGTAGTGGAGAGCCTCACTCATGTCTAGCAGATCAGCCAGGAGAAATATATGGGGAAACGCCTAGTCTGTGAATCCCAGCAGGGCTTAGGAGTGAGACAGATGACAAGGTCCCAGCCCTGTCATGACTAACATGCTTCTGGGCATGCCATAAAACACAGGTATCTGCAGAATTCACGTCTCCAGGGTTTGGAGGCAACTGAGCAAGGAACAAGGATCTTAATTCTGGACTTAGGTGTCCTATGGCATTTTTACACGTGTTGGGACACTGCGCCAAGCCACGCTAATTAAAAGTGCCTGTGCATCATGTGTATCAACGTCCCCGCACTGAGAAAATGGCAGCAGGGCACTTTGAACTGAAGCTCACTGAATGTATTTTATTTCAGAGTGACCCACCACCATTTTTTCAGTGTGGAGACGTGTGGTGACACTGATACACGTGACGCGGAAGGCTGCCAGAGCGCATCAATTTCTGTTCTCCAGCAGACTCGACTAATAATTAATAATTGAGTCTGCTCCAACACAATGGTTTTCCAGTGCATTGGAGCAGGCTCCACACAGATGTGTAGCAGCCCTAAAATCCTAAATGGATCTAGTTCCTCTTCCTTCAATTTCAAAGGTCCAAGTAGAAGGAAAATGCAGACACAGCCTGGCAGGATTTGAAACAAGAGGGATTTAAGCATGATTCTCTAAATATAGGACTTTTCCACAACCTCCTCTGACTACTGCAATTCAGCAGAGAAAACCTGGCAGCTAGGCTGTAGCATTCACTGCTCCAAAAATCAGATACAGTGCTGTATGTTGTACCCAGTCAGTTTTTACTTTGTACATAAATGCACCATACATCTATGTAGCACAGGAGCAAATAATACCAAATACCTACATGAACTCTGACCATGGAAACTTTACATCAGAGGAAATGAAGTGCGCCCTTCACCATCTTTGATGGTGCTACTCATGAATGGCTGTCTTGTTAAGCAATAAGACTAACAGAAGAAAGATGCTCCTCTATCTTTTCCCTTTTGTACTCCATCATTGTTAGCTACCCACACTATGCAACAGAGAAGATACTTTTAGCCCACTATAAAAAGTGAACCTGCACACCATGAGTATGGTGTGTAGTTCATTCAACCTCTGAAGAGGAGAACCACACTATCCAGTAAACTTTGTAAATCAATCTTGAAAGTAGGATGGGTTTTCTCAGGAGAAAAGATTTCATCTACAAGCTGAAAGAGGGGAGTGAAAACAACAGAAGACTATATACATGAAACAGAAACATCTTGTCACTTATTCCTTACCTTGACAGTTTGCCTTAAATATTTCAGTTTTTCAGTTTGCATGAGCCTACGAGTAAGAAAACCCTTTGCTAATGCAGTGATCTTATTGAACTTCATTTGCACTTCTGGACTGAAAACCTTTAAAACAAAAAAAACAAAAAAAAAAACAAAAAAAATTGTCTGAGCTAAGTACTATTATGGAATTAAATATAGTTAGCTTGGTTGATAGATTTGGACAAACAATTCAAATCAGTTTATTCACCACTCTTGCATTCAGGGCTAGACAATATAAGTTTGCTAAATGCATTTTAGCTAGATCAGAGGTGCCCACGACAATATTAGTTTGGTTATCAGTGAAGATGTGGTTACATGATTACATTGCTTATTCTGTAATCTGGGGGTGGGGAATAACATTCTTCAGCTGTTTTCTTAGATCTCCTAGTTCAACCTCATCTAAAGAATTGCAGGTCAAAGATTAATTGGATTTCAGTTCTCTTGCACTGGGAGCTTTTAGCTGTAGTATATCTACCTGGCAAGGATTAGATGATTTTTAAAAAGATACAATGCAATCTATTTTCCTACCTGTGACCACCTGGACTTGACTCTACTAATGGGCCTGGCTGCTGAGATTTTTGACATTCCACCAGATGATGGCCCCCAGAGGTAGAAGGGAGTGTCACTTGTTGAAGCAAAGCTATTGGGTGTGATGCTGTTGGCAAAACCTACACATAAGTAGAACAAGTAGATGTAGTTAAATAAATGGAGCACGAAACAGGAAGACTGAGCACGCACACACACACACCACCACCCAAATACTTGCATGTCACTCCACAGAAATTCAGATTTATCACTATATTTTTTAACACACATACACCCTGGTTTTAATCTAGAAGCTTTTCATGGGTGTACACTGGACTAGTACTGTTCCATTCGCTGCTTGTTGTATACATTATATCCCTTGTCAGTTATGCTTGTTCAAAATTTAAAAAAAAGACATAATCAAAGCAGAAAGTAGTGCAGGGTGGAATCTCAGAAACTAACTGGTTCAGAGAGGGACAGACTTTCCCTTTATACCAATGTGTGCAAAAGTCCACAATACACATGTTGAATATTAAGAGATACTATACTGGACTTTTTGTGGAGGGCTTAAGATCAAAGAAAGTACTTCCAGATTTTTATTAGAGGTAGTTTCAGACGCTGCAATGTGTACACTCATTTATGAAGTACATGACTAAGACCATCAATTGGTTTCATACATCACCAACCTGCAGGAAGATACTAACTTCCAATACTTCCTGCCTAGACTGGATCCCAATTAATGAAGCAGAGGTGTTGCTACTGTGCATTCCATGACCCAGGAAAGTATATCCTGTTTTAAAGTGCCCAGTAAACTGTATACTCCCACCCAGTTTTACCAGTGCTATTTGAATTTGCGTAACAGATTGCATCCACTTAAGTCAGCATACTTTCCAGCACGCCACTTTCACTTATTTTTCTCCATTCCAATTCCACTCCACTGGAAACATTCATTTTGGGTATTTCGGTTTCTGTTGTAACAATCTTCTTTCCTTTCAACCTCCTTTCCTGCTCTTCTATCTCCTGCAGATTAAAAGTCTGCCATAAAACCAGATCTTTCATTCCATATGATGGAATTTAGATTCATTTTGAAAAGCCGTGGCATCTCAACAAGCTTCAATATAACATAAGCAGCTTAGCCACTACCTATAGACATCTTAATTTCCACTAATCTTAATGTAACATCATCAAATATAACTGCACTTCAAATAGGCTTACTAGACAATATATACACTTAAAAACCCAGATAAACCTTTCCCAAACTGTAAAAACACAGATTCCCCTCTCGATTGTATTAATATACATGGATACCGTGAGCTACTACCAGCCGATTGTAGTAATTTTCTCGCTCTTCTAGGATGTCTAATTCCCTATTGCAGCACTTCCCTTTTAGAACTAGCTATGAAAACATACATCAATTATACATCTGTCTCCTGGGTATGCCTTTCTGCTGCTATACTAAAACAGTCAATGAGCCAAGCCTCCTGTTTGTTACATTATTTTTCTCAGTGCTCTGACTGTCCCTATCCAGAACAAGATGATAGTCAACTTTAAGGCTTTCACATTATCACATTCTCCAAAGAGCTGCCATAAATTCAACTAGATTATAACAACTGCCCAACCTTGGGCATGACATACAAAAAAAAGCAATATTATTTCACTGCCCTAAATTGCCAGATACTGAAACAAAAAGCACAAGCAGCTACTGCTCCCATCTCAAACTGGAGTTTTCCAGTCTTGTTCCCTCACCTTCTGCAGTTTCTCCTGTTCTCTTTCTTGTTCAGCTATCAGAATTGATAGCTGTTGTGCATGCTGCTCTTCAAGCCTCTTCCTCATTTCTTCAAAAGCCAACATTTTATTTTTTAAAATCTCTTCTGAGAAGAAAACACATGCATTTTAAAGAATTAATCATATATTCTTTAATTCTTCTTCATATTTTCTAAATGTTCTGTACCCTAAACAAAGAAATGTTGATTTAAAATGTATATTTCTCTTTCAAAAAAAAGTAGAATACTTTTTTATTCACAATTCCCGGTAACACAGAGCAAACAAAGTTATTTATCAGCAAGCGCAGCTCCGCAAGTTGCCTGATCAGGTTCACATTTATGAGATAAGCCCTCTCAGATGGCACAAGTGGCACAAGAGTGTAAACATGAAGAAACTAGCTCTGAAAAAAGCAGGACTTCTTGCTTGATCAAATTCAAAACACATATACACCCCCTCATATCTAGCTTCCTTATGAAGTTCATTGGAGAAAAATACAAAGTAGATGTGACATTTTTGTTTCTGAATCAAAAAGAGACTGCATATCACGATAATATTCCAACTCCTTACATTCACTATTTTATTTGCAAAGTGTATCCATGTTCTTATATTTCAGATTACTGCTCTACCTTAGCATAAAGGCCAAATCCAGTCCATTAGACTAATGTTTGTAGAGCCATTGACTTTTCGTGGAACATGGAAATTCACTGTATGAGAGCTTCACTGGAATTTTTGTAACCATTTCTAGCAGTGCTTCATTTCCATTCTTTTTGGATTTCAAATCCAGCTAGACATAATTTTCAGTAAAACAACAAGAAAACGCCAAATTATAAAGAAAAAAGAGAAGCTCCAGTTACAGCAACAAATGGTGATATTGAACAAGCAGGACAGTTTTTCAGAAACTGGGAAAATCACCTTTCCCGACATCATCTATTTACTCTACACAAGTACCTATGGAGATGCTCAAACCATTGTTAAATATGTATTATAGGACTTCTGCCTTCAAAGAAGCAGGCTTCACTTTGCTTAAAGAAGTCTCCATTTCTAGAGCATCTTTCAGAAATGTCATTTACTATAGGAACTTTATCTAATGTGTAGGAATTTACAATTATAAAAATATATTCTGTCATTTCAACATAATCACTATATAAGTTGTGAAAACAATACAAAAGTGAAATGTAGTGAAACACTAGTAAGGAAAACAGATTACAGATAAAAGCACACAAAGAAACCCTGAGCTTTTCAACTCCTCCTTCATATGTATTGACAGGACTACAAGTCAATTTATCGTCAAGACAACAATTAGCACAATAATTACATATTTTTTAAAACTGAGACTTCTAACTAAAGAAAACTTTTATTTTGAAAAGGATTAACTAGAGAAAAAAATATCAGTTTACCTTTTGCAGTACTGTCTGAGCTTACATTCTCGTTAACATAAATAGATCCCAGGGAGCATCTTTGATCTTGCAGCCACCAACTCTCTTGTTCTTCGGTTCCAACTGATGAAACATATGGCTTGTTTTCTTTCTGTGAGCCATCAGTATCCATATCCAGCCTACGTTTCACTTTTTCAATACCATTTTCTTGAAAGTGTTCATTTCCAAAACAAAGACTTGGAGTATCCATCTGCTGTTGCTTCAGCTGGCTTTGCATCAGTAATGGAGATGGGTTTTCTACATCATAAGATTTATTGAGTTCCATGGGTGAAGTACTTTTGTTTTTTTCTAGCAAGTTAGTTGGTTTGAGTCCGTTCATACTTACTAGTTTTTGGGTTACTAGGGACTGACTAGCTGCATAAGGCTCGTGCAATTTTGGAGTTGTAGTACAAGTAGCACTGTCCACCTTGTACAGCCCTCTGCCCTCCAGCACTAGCTGACCCTCCACTGTAGCAGACACTGGAACTCCTTTGCTTTCTAATTGATTAACAGACTGTTGATGCACTGGATTTGATTTGCCAAACGCCAGTCCATCACAGGTGTCCAAAGGCGTTTTGTGAACTTTGCTAGAACAAAGCATAGCAAAGTCTGTGGTGAACTTTGGCACAGGTTCAGACACGTTGGCCTTGTCAGCAGCATCTTGTATGATCAAGTCCGTTGCTCTCCCCTTGTTTTTAGGACTTAATTCATAGGCATTTACAGGGTTATTTATAACTATGTGACCCATGGATAAGGGCCTCGGACGTCTTCGGTGCATTTTAGGACTCATACTTGGTTCTGGACTGGGTAATTTGGCATAGGAACCTGTAAGGCTTCTGACAATGCTACTGTCATGGTCAAAGGTGGAAACATGTTTAAATTCTTCATCTGAATCTGAATCCAAAACTGGGGGTGTTCCTGCTCTCACAGGTATGTCCACTTTGGAAAAACTGGATGAGGCTGAAGTACTCATGCTATTTGAATGGGGAGAGGCACCTTGGAGAACCATATTCGATTTATTAAGACTTGGTTTATCAAGTGTCATACCTGTACAACTTCTGCCTGTAAATTTTGTCTTCTCTTTCACTAAATCACTGCTTTTAACTGCATCATTTTCTTTATCTGAATGACTTTCATTAATACTTTTCTTCAAATTAGTTCTTGTGCTACGTCTCGTTTGTTCTCTCTCTACGTATTCCCTCGACTTTTTCAGAAGATTTTGAAGACTCATTACATAGGGATCTGCAACTTCCTCATTAACTGTTAGCACCCCCATATCCTCTTTGTTCAGATGTGCATTTAAAGCGAGCATATTTTGTGTTTGATCAGGGGATGCAACCTTTGGGCAAGCTAAGTTTTCTGAAGGGCTGCTCTCACTTTGCTTTGGAAGAACGAGTTCTTCTGTGCTTTTAACAGATTCTATCACGCTTAATTGAACCAGGGTGTTAGTGTCCGACAGCATACTTTCTAATGGCTTTTCAAGCTCGGTAGCGTGACAGTCAGCAGTAGAACTTGGCAAACTGATGTCTGGTAGAGTAGAGAAGCCAGCTGAGGCTTTTAACTCCAAATTAGGGTGAATACTTTCAGCTTCCCATTGATCCAAATCATTCACACTGGAGAGTTTTCTGACCTGCACATAATTGAAAACATTTCATATCCCTTTATTGCAATAAAGCCCTGTTGTCTATAAAGAATTAGAAAACAAACAAAGGAATAGGATTTCTTTAACAACCAGCCAAAAAAAAAATTAAGTGCACAGAATGTTCCATATTATTTGCCCGTTTTTATAAAGGCATAATTCTTTCCAGGCACAAGCAATAGCAACTGCATTTTACACCAACATGGATGTTTAAACTAAGATGAGTAAAAAGTCATCACCTAAATATCCATTACCTCCAGGAGGCCTAGAAGAAAGCTAACCAGTATTTTTATACTCTTGATATATGTTCCTGGTCTGCCTTTCAAATCCCAAATCAGGTGACTGTTTCCATGCACACACTAGTAAACAATACATGAAGCTGAATAGATGCGTTTACCACCCAAGAAACAAAACTCAACCTCACTGTAAACACTGTTCATTTACCCAACAGGTTAATTTAAGGGCTGTCTTGCAATTCTACTATAAACCCAGATTAGGTGGCTTTATTAAGAGTATATTAGATTATCTTTTCAAGTTTAAACACTTGCCTAAAACCTGATGATAATCCCATTATTGCATAAAAAGAAAAACATATAGTTACAATATTATATTAATGCATGTGAGTGCTGTAATTTTGCAAAGCTTGTTACTTAGCCCACAATTTCTGGAAAAAATAAGTGGTAACACATCACTAGTTAACAGTTTGTTAATCAAAATCCAAACAATTAGATCTGCCAATTTGCTACAATCTACCAATTTTAAACAGTATTACAAAAACAAGAGGTGACTATTTTGCTAGTTGTGTCTTGTACACAGACAAAATAAAGCACTGAACACCAAATACTAAACAAGTTTGTACCAAAATAATTGCACGTACTTACTGCAACTGTTGATCAGGTCATACTATATAAATTAATAACAAGTACTGGTAAAAAGAAAGTTAACTGAAAACAACACCCAGTTTAGATTACAGGATTCATCAGGAAATGGTCAGAACGCATGTGTTAAAATGCCTTCTCTACATTAACTAATACACTTCCACCACCTTTACCTGCACATTTTCCAGAATCTCCTGAACGCGATTAAGTAAAGCCCTTTTCTTGGAGTTCTGCTTCCAGATCTCTAAATCCAGTGCTTTTTGCTTCTCTTGCTGCATTTCCTTTCTTCTCTCAAGGTTAAGCTGCAAGACAAGGTACCAAGGACATGTAAAAAGAATTTAAATGCAAAAAAAAAAAAATCTTAAAAAAAAAACCTTAGACCACGTAAGTTGGAGACTTCACGCAGTTTAAAGATTAACCTCTTTTAAACTGTAAAGGAACATTTTTGGCAAGCCAAAAACTATTTAATGTACATAAAGCCCAATAAATTGGACCACAGGCAAGAAGTATGCAGAAATTAAAGAACTGGGTTTACAAAAATCCCTTAACAGCTGATGCAGGAGCCCCTCTACACACAAGGCTATCCAGAACTGATAAACAGACCTTTTGAATGTTGTTCAGAGGCTGCACAAGCATCCTCTGTGCATCCTCTCCTCCACACTAGTTTCCCTCCCCTTACACTTTACTTGTTGGCTGCGATTTGAGGGCCTCGCACCAACCTGTCTCCCAGATATAAGACGACTTTCTAAGATGCTCTACACCACTCTTCTAGCCTCTCGTAGCCCTAATCCATATATATTTTTCAGGAGATAAGGGCCCAAGTAATTAAAAACCCTTGCAATTAACAATTATATATGAAATTAAACATTGAGTTTTAGAGCAAGGGTCAGCAACCCACAGTCCAGATCCAGACTGCAGAACTTTTTGATCCAACCCAAGGACATGGGGCTTCAGCAGCACAGACATTTTCCTGTGCTGGCACAGGGAAAGGCAGACCTAGGAAGAAGCAGAGGCAATGCAGGGAAAAGCAGCAGCAGTGGGCACAAGGAAAGTGCCTGCCGCTGTCGCTATTGCTTGCTGCTGCTTCCCTGGCAGGTGCAGGAAAAAACAGCAGTGGCAAGTACTGTCCTGGTGCTGGCAGTGGGGAGAAATCAGCAGCAGTGGCTGGGTCCTACCACCTGTCTACCTCTGATCCAAAATGGTGGAATCCAGCCCGCAGCCTTTAAAGACTGCTGATGCTTGCTCTAAATTATCATTCAATGCCTAATACAAAGTTACAACACAAGATACAGGCAGACAAGGTTCTTTCAGTAAATGTTATATATTTTATTAGACCAACTAAATAGTTGAAAGAATTGTTCTTTGCAGGTTTTCAGGCACAAACATCCTTTATCAGGCATAGGGAAAGTTTGCTAGTGATTTATGTGCTCTCCTGGGTAGAATAGAAAAGCATTTCCATTTTCACAGACCTGCATTTGGCCTTCTATTCCACCCAGGAAAGCACATACAACACCAGCACACTCTCCCTATGCCTGAAGAAGGGTGTTTGTGCCCCAAAGCTTGCAAAGAGCAATTCTTCCAACTATTTCATTGGTCTAATAAAAGATATCACATTTACCCAAAGAACCTCATTTGCCTATGTCCTTAGACCAACATGGCTACAACCAACAACCCTGAAGCACAAGATACAGACATCTTTATTCTTGTTTTTATTGGGTATACTTTAGTTATAAATTAAAATTCAGTCTGGTCTCACAAAAGCTGGTACCATAAAACCGAATTAAATGGAATTAGATTTAATCTCAGGCCAATGTTTCTTTCTATATTTGCATTTTATAAAGTGAACGAGTTTCCCCATGTATGTACTTGAGAAACTTTTTGGGATTCTCACTTTACTTTTACACTTGAAAAAAACATTTTGAAGTCTAAACTTTACTCCTTCCAAAAACCCTAGCTTGGCCACATACAATATCTCATTGTTAAAGAACCACTACATTCATATTTCAAACCAGTGAAGTCAAGAGATAAGGCAAATATGCTGCAATGTTATGCAAAATGATGGATGGCATGTTTGTTTTATTCTATATAAGCTAAAAAAACCTTCCATATGAACATATTTAACTTTCCTTACTCAACTGCTGATTAAACCCAGGTTTACTTAAAATCATTTAGAATTGTATGGAGATGACTGGAGAAGTTGCAACATCTTAAAATAAATTTCTTATCACAGATGCCACATCTAAACCTCCTAGCTTTGCTTTATCAAGATGGAGTTGGACAGCAAGGAACATGGTTCATACTGAACAAGGAAGTTGTAACAACCTGCTACATAAATGGAATTTTATTAAAGACTTCAAGTCTGAGTGTGGCAAAATCGAAACTAGAGCATACATCATGGACAAATGCCCAATTTCATTTTAATGGTTGCAATGAAGACCTGCACCAGGCTACTGAGGTTGCCTTGCAATGGATATCAAATCTAAAACTGCCACCCTAGCCTTCTCCTTCAGTGTTGTCGTTTGTAGGATGTTCTGTCATTCCATTTCTGTATTCCATACAAATAAATAATCTTAAAATAAAAAATTCACTTAAAATATACATATATAACAGAGCTAACCAACACCAACTATAAAACAAGAATAAGTTAGAGTAAACTCAAGGAGGGAGAGAAGAAAAAACAATAATGTCATTTAATCTAGAGGTGCCATCTTAAGTATCTTTTAGAGCCGGTTGGAAATAGATGGAAAAAAATTGATATCTCCCATGAAACAGCATCTCCTGTTGCTGAGACACTCTAATAGCATTTCTGAATAAAATGAAAATTTTGAATTTTTTTTAGCAAAAAAAAAAAATAAAAAAAAAATCCTGTTTAGCTGAAAACCCCATTTTCAAACAAAAAAAGTTTGAGTCAAAACTTTCCAATCAATCTAGCATTTCCATCCACTCTTTTTATTGGGTACTATTTTAAATAAACCCAAATGACATTCAGCAACTAGCAAATAAGCAATTTTCCATTAAAAATAATGAAGTATGATAGTAGCAGTATTTGCCTGGTTTATATCACCATAAGTATTTTTCTTATGACACACACATTATTTCACAAAGTGAAAGGACACATAGTAAATAATCCACTTCCATACTCTGTATATACCAGACAAGTTAAGGCATAATTAAAATGGAGCTGCTGCTGCACTGAGACTTCTCCAAAATCTTCCTAGTGAAGCCTCTGATGTTAGAAAAGATTTTAGAAAGATTTCTGCATGGCAAAGACCTGAGGGGCACACTGTGGGATGCATAATCAATTGGGCCGCATGTTCATCTTAAAGGCTTTGATTGTGTTAGTCAGCTTTGTAGCTGCATTTCTTACTATCCAACTCTACCAGCAGTTGTAGTGTTGTCTAGACAAAAATGGTAAGGACCTTTTTACACTATAACTTGCGCTTATCTGAGTGTACTAATCAAACAAGGGCCTAGCAAGAAGAGAGCAGGGTAGGAAAAGAGCCGCTTTCACAAAATAAGGCTGGAAAACCAACTGATATAATGGGAAGCTATGAAATAATCCAACATAGGAGTACTTCCCAAGTGGTAAACACCTCAATCCAAACTCTGGAATGGGCAAAATTATTTTTTTTTTTACTTAACTGTATCATAAAACTCCACTCCCATCAGCTTTATTTTGATTTTGTTCCTGAACACTACAGAAATGTGCTAGTCATGGTTGGTTGCACTATAAGCCAATATAGATAAGTGAACAAAAATGGTCTCTGCCTTCTCTAAATGTAACTACTTAAAAGTCAAACTTACCAAAGGTGAAAGCACAGGAACGCCATGGAACTGGATAAGTGAAATATTTTTGTGCTGAGTAGGCAAAGAGATTTCTCTTGGTAGCAACTCTCCTTGAAGCCTGGCAAGATGCTTTTCACAGAATTTTTCATAGTCTTCCATCTTCATATGATTAAACTGCACATAGAGATATATTACTACCACCATTGTACTACCAATAGAAGAAATACAGCAGCACAAGTACAAGAGCAGGTTGTGAAAACAATTGGGAAACAAACTGTTCTCTACAATATGTTGCAGTGAGAGACATAAATGTGACATGGAAGATTTCATACAAATTCTTGTTAATTTGTGCTATTATGGACTCCAAGTTAAGTAATCTCCAGTGTACTGCTGTCTCAAAGGGCTTGATTCTCCTCAAGGCAATCACTTCAATGGGAACAAAACTAGGATCTTAAACTCCAAAACAGCCTTAGGTTTCAAGCCATTTGTAACCCTAGTTACCATCTACAGTTCTCGTTTGACTGTGCCGTGCTTTACAACTTTGGCAGTCAAACATCTGAAAGCCAGTACAAGAGATAGGATGTTGCACTCCTACTACAGAATCACAGAAAATGGGGCTGGAAGGGATGCTAGAGGTCATCTAGTGCACCTGCCTGCCAAAGGCTGAACCAACTACACCTAAACCCTTCCTCACAGACTTTCATCTAGTTGCATCCTAAAAGCCTGCCAGATCTACACTCATACAATTAAGTTGGGCCTGACATACCATTGTCCCTTGCTGCACATTAATCCTTTCCTGTCCCCAGCAGATGTGGAAAAGAGTTTACAACCCTCCCCTTTCCACATCATCTCAGTTTTCTCGTCTCTAGACTAAAAAAACCCTATTCTTTCCATTTCTGCCCCAGGGTCATGATTTCTGAACCTCTGGCCTAGACGCTTTTCAAATGGGCTCTCTCTTTCTTTCTTTTTTTAAACACACTGTCCTCAAATGGACACAGCAGTCCTGCTAAGACCTGGCCAGTGCAGGGAGGAAAACCACGCAGTACGTTAAGGGGCAGATGGTGGCAGTGGGGAGAAAAGGAATCATCTTTTTAAGGTGCCTGAGGGTGGGGGGGGGACCTGACACAGACAAGGTTTATTCACAAGTCAACTGGAGAACGCAGGCTGCACACATGGTCTGTGTAGTTGCTGAATCTGCAGTAGCATGGAGGATCCAAAAGCAGCTCTTTGCTAGCCTGCCCACAGCCCTGGCAGGGGGCCAGAGCTCCCAGAAGTCTCCCGCGCTACAAAGAAGACCCCTGCACTGATGCTAAGAGACTCACAGCCAAGCAAAGAACAAATCCTGGGCATGTACTGGGCCAAGCAAAGAACAAATCCTGGTCCTGATGTCGTTTCAAGGCAGCAGCGCCCAATACCCCCTTCAATGCAAGGCTCCTTTGCAAACTGGGTAAGAAACCTGGCACCCGCGGGGACAAAGCCTGGGCGGGCGCGCACACACTCGGTGGCGCTCCCCGGCACCCCAGGCAGACCATTGCTCACAGCTCAGCAACCCCCAAGCGCAGGGCCCTCTCTCCCGCCCTCTCGGCCGCCCACAGGCGCCAGGGCCCCGCTCAGCGCAGCGCATCCATGCGCTCCTCTCCCCGCCCGGGCCGCGGACGCTGCCCCCGCGCGCTGAGCTCGGGACAGCGACCACAGGCCCGTGTCCCCGGGTACCTGCCGGCCCTTCTCGCCCAGGATCCCGGCCCCGCGCTCCGCCGCGCCAGAGCCGCCGGCGCCTGGCAACCGGGGCCACAGCCCGCCCCTCCCCCTGCGCTTCCGGGGGACCGCACCTGGGAGCACTCACGGCGGGGAGAACTACAAATCCCAGCATACATTGCTCCCCTGCGCCCGTCCCCGCGCCGCTTGGCGGGGGGCGTTGCATGCTGGGAGCAACAGACTCTCTTACCTCAGCGGTGCATGCTGGGAGTTGTAGTTTGGAAGGAGAGAGGCTGATCCTCTAAAGGGGAAGGCGGGTACCTCCTCATGCCCCTGTGGGAGGTTTTCTGCCCCTCCCGGATTTCCCAGATTGATCCGGATACTCCATGTAAACCACGCTTTGTTTCCAGTAATCCTTCCCATCATTGGTGATGTGTATGTGCACACGGGTGCACATGCACCCCCTGAGCGTGGTGGTGCGCCCCCTGCAAAAAGGCCACTACTGCTGGCAGCATCTGTGGGAAGTCTGCGATCGCCACTGGCTGCTGCCAGTGCTGCCAGCGGCATCTGTGAATAGTCATCGACCATTGGTTGGCACTTGTCACCCCCACTGCCCTGCCAACAGCTCACTGTTCCCCCCCAGCTGCCGGGGGCACGCGGCGTTCATGCTGCCCGTGGCCTGAAAACAGTGCCCTGAAAACAGCTCCTCTCTTCTTGTCATTCATTGTCTAGTTACCAGCAGCAGCAACAAGGGACTTGAATTGGCACGTCCCCAGTTTGCACCGGGGAGATGACAGTGTTTGACATGGGCACATGGCAACACGTGGTCTCATGAGCCTTGGGACACAGGCACGGCTGCCACAGGCATGCTCTCCTTTTAGACACGTGTCAGAGGAGACTGCACTTGCTCCCAAGCGTCATCATGTTCTGCAGCCTGGGCTACAACCAGCTGTAATCATGCTGCCATAGTGGGCCACGACCATAGCAGAAACGCTCACTGTGATGGACCTGTCAGATTGGAAGGAACCTGTGCATTCTGCTCAGTACCTGCCATCAACAACCTGAGACAGAGCATGAGAAGAAGTCCAGTAGACAATCAGGGCAAAAGGCATTCATTTACTCTATCAACACTTGGCTCAGGCAAGGTCTGAGTTTAGGTTGTTGCTTGAAGCGGAAGGAAAAACAGAGAAATACAAATGCATTACAAAATCAGTTCAACATTTAAAACGTACAGCTGGCTGCAGATCACCAAAAGCACCTACATTACTCTGTGTATGGCTACATTAGAGGCTTAATGCACAGAAGACTAATTCAACTGCACATTAGCGCAGCTGGCAAAAACCATGTTAATGCACTAATGTGCAGTAGATTTAGTCTAATGTGCATTAACATCACCAAAAAAGCATTCATTTGCACTAATGTGCAGTCGTGCTGATTACAGCGCATTTAGAACCTGTCATTACAGGTACTAAACTTAATGTGCCATTAATGAACTTGCGGACGCTAAGTACTAAATGCAGAATCCGTTTGGTTTTTGGTTTTTTTAAGGAAAATTCTTCGTGTCCCAAATCAGCCAAATCAATTCCAAATCCATGAGTCATTCAAGAACCATGTGGCCCTGCTACCAGCATGCATTTTCCACCTTCACCTGGGCTTCTGATGCTTCCAAATCCTGCAGCAGGCATCCTAGGCCCCAGAGGCTTGGGGTTCAGATGCCCCCAAGTTTTGCTTGCCTTCAACCATATGGCCGCAGGCAGAGATGACCCGAGCAGGTTGCGGGGCCTGGGGCAAATCAGCCCTTGCGGAGTCTTGCCCCTGGGATGCGAGGATGCTGGGGGTGGATTTGGCGGCCTGGGGAAGGGGGGAGCGGGCTGCCCAGCAGCCAGACATAAAGCTGGCAGCAGCGCAGAGTCGCTGCTCCACCCAGCTCCATGGGGCCCCCCAAAGCGCAGGGCCCGCAACGGTCGCCCTGATTCACGCCCCTAAGGACAGCCCTGGCTGCAGGAGGGAAGTCTTAGTTTCAAGACTAGTGAGGCTACAGCTATGAAGTCCAAGCCCTGTCAGCCACAATACACTTAGCCTGGAGCATATCCTTAGAATACCAAATTAGGGCTCAAATAGCCTAGAAGTGGCTGATTACTGGGATTTTTGGCACAAAACCCTCCACACTCACTGCTGCTTCTACGTATGCCTTTAAATAGGCAGCGGCAAAGATTTTGGGGGTAATCACTTTTATTCGTTTAAATGCCAAGTCTCCCAATGGTTTTTCGCAGTTACAGCTGCAGGACTACAGGGGAGCCTCCGCTTCAGCCTGTCTGGGGCAGAGAAAACTTAAAAACATGATCCCTAAAGAGGCAGAAAGCAGGAGATCAACATTAATAAGCCGAACTCCTATTGCTGAAAGGCGGTTGTGGTTTCGTAGCTCCGGGCAAGCAGCAGGAGGCGCTGTCAACGTCGCGAAACCCTCCACCAGCTACACTGCCCCCGGCCGGAGGCGGGGCCCAGCGCCAGATCCTGCCCCTTTCCGGCATTTCAGCCAATCGTTGGTTGAGAGGCTCAGCCAGACTGTGTTCTCCATGACGGTTGGTGGGCAGTGGCCAGTTGTTGGAGGATGACTGGCTGATAGCAGAGTGGGGCTGGGCGTTGATTGGCTGTTGGCAAAATACACTGGTGGGTGTGGATTGGCAGATGCCCGGCCCCGCAGCGTATTGTGAGCTCGGGTGCCGGCGGCGCCGGGGGGGAGCGGGGTGGGCTTCGTTGCGCCTTGTCTCGTCATGTTGTGCGGCGCGCCGGGCCTGTTGGGCGCCCTCACGGCGCTGCTGGGCGCGCTGCTGGTGTTGACCCGGAGCCCGGCGCTGTCCTGCCTGGTGCCGGCCGGGCTCTACCTGGCGCTGCGGCTCTTCAGCCTGGAGCCGGCGCCGCTGCCGCGGGCCCAGCACGTCTTGC